TACCAAGGTTGCCATATTGGTTTTTTTAACGCCAAATTTCATGATTTTGGCTTTTTGGAAACACGTTTGGCGTCAGAATTTCCGTTTGGCTTTTTCTTGGATTTTTTGATGTCCACTCTACTGTCTATTATTAAAATAATTCAAAATACAATACAGGTATTTATTGTGCAACAATAGCAATCTCAGCTACTCAACATTTAGATTTTCCCTTAACCACAATCAATCAAAAAGATGCCAACAATGATTCATTGGTCGTCACTAGCTGTCCCTCCGTGGGCAGGATGAACGGGCTGGCTCATCTAATAGAGGGGTATTTTTGGATATGGTGGAATACACCGCATCCCTAGATACAGTATTGAGAGATCATCTTGATGCCGCAACTGTTTCGAAAGGGACATCTAAGGATATCCAAAATGATTTGCTCGACTCAATGTATAAAATTTATTTACAACATTTGACTCTGGAAATTGAGAATTGCCAGTTCCTTTCGATTCAGTCTGACGAGACAACTGACATCACGTGCGTTTCCCAACTGGCTGTGATTTTTCGGTTTGTGAAAGATGGTAAACCTACCGAGAGATTTCACAGCGTTGTACCAATCGTTGATCGCACGGCTTGCGGGATATCGGCTGTACTGAAAGAAGTGTTACAGCCTTACAACGCGAAGTCAAAATTGATAGCTCAAACTTATGAAGGCGCGGCAGTCATGAGTAGGTCGAAACATGGTGTTTAAGTTTATATAAAAGAAGATTTTCCTCATGCGCATTTTTTACATTGTTATGCACACCAATTTAACACCGTTATTAAAAATATGTGTCTCGATACCTCTCTCGTCTGTATATTTTTTGCAAATGTTTCGGGTTTTTTTTCATTTTTTTCCGTTTCGCCGAAGCGCTCTGACCTCCTTCGCCAGATATGTAGCCGCCGTCTTCCAGCTTGTGCACCAACACGTTGGAACTTCCAATCACGCGTGGTGCAGGGCGTGTCCGAAATTAGGTCTGAGCTCATTGAGTGTTTCAATGGCATTCAGAGCTCTCCGGTTTGGGACGAACGCTCTGTGAGGGAGGCGGCAGGTCTAAAGCGTCTGCTAGAAGATGGTGAGTTTTCATTTTTTCTCGCTTTTTTCTCCACAATATTCTATCACGTGGATGTATTATACGGCGCATTGCAGTCAAGGCTAATGGATGGAGCGTCTGTGCAGTCGTGTATTTCAGACTTCTGCGATGCTGTATCTCGTATCCGGGAAACAATAAAATACGACGACACATGGAGTGCTTCTTTACGCCGCGGGCAAACAACGCAGCGTTTGATTTTGTCTGCAAAGGAATGCTGTGACATTCTGGTGAATCAAATAGGCGATCGTCTGCGCACTGAACACCTTGCCGCGTTCTCTTTGATGAACCCCAAAAATTTTTCAAAATTTGCACGTCAATTTCCCATCCATTTGTTGGCTACTGTCTCCAAATTTTACCCCATGATAAACGTGGGTAAATTGGAAAATGAATTGCGATGTATATACACCAATCAAACTTTTTTGAACATCACATCAACTTGCGCGCTCTATGGGTTCCTCATAGATAACACTCTAGTAACTACCTTTGCGGCGTCTGCAAAATTTCTGGACATCATTTTGACGACGCCTATTTCTTCCGCCGACGCAGAGCGAACATTCAGCACGCTGAAGCGTATTAAAACGTATCTCAGAATAGCCAGAAACACAATGAAGCAAGATAGATTAAATTCCTTGGCTGTTTTATCCATTCACAGAGACGTTATTTCTGGGATGCATGACTTTAATCAGCGCGTTATTGAGCATTTTGCTTCCAAGAAACCGCGGCGTGTTGCATATATGTTCAAGCAGTAGAAGTCTAGCAGCATATATATCTATGAGTGAGCGACGCATGTCCTTATCTTTGCATTACCTTTCCTTTCTTCATAGTAACGTTTTAAACCTTATTTTAGGTTTTGTCTGCTTTCCCGAAGTTTCTGTTAATATGTCATTGTATTTATCTGGGTAAATATTGCCTTTCCTTTTGAGAGAGGTTTCAAAATAAACTATGTCTATATTTATTAATCCCTTGACTTGGACCGGTTTTAAAGACACTTTCTTATCGTTAAAAATTGTCGCTTTTGCCGATTGGTTGTTACCGATGGAATGGTTTTTATACTCATAAAATGATGGGAGAACTTACAGCGCTCATCCTGTCCCCGTAGATGGGGGTGACTTGGTCCCGCAGTAGCTTGCCCCGGTTGTCAAAATGACCACGCGCCGCCACTGGGGTTTTGTAAATATTGTATATTAAATAAAATAAGTAAAAAGTTTATTCTACTGTTTATAGAAAGATTATTTGTTTGAATATTACAGACTTTAGTTGCAGCTTATACAGCTTACATTATCAATATTACTGGAGATATCACTAACTAGTTTACTGTTCAGTTCCTCTTGTATTTCTGATCTGGGAAATTTAGTTTTCTTCTTGGGATCATTTACTGTTAGAATGCAGCCATGTTTATAGGAACAGAGTATATAAAGACGCACCTGACATGGATCTTTGAATAGAGATATTTGTTATTGTTTGACTTTGCATGAACACTTCATATTTTTATTTATCAGCAATAGTTAATATTTTTAATTGTACCCGAGAAGGAATTTTGTCACTTTTCTTTATTTATCATTATTCTTACTCTTATATAGCAGGGCTGGCCAACACGTCAATCGCGATCGACCGGTCTATCGCCACGGGTCTAGCAGTCGATCGCGTCTGATGTGAATTTTATTGAAATGCCCTTAAAAATTGTCTCAAACCAGTTGTGTGTTTTGCAACAGGGAAAATACAGTAACTTTACATCCGGGAAATACAACATACACATACAGTATTTGAGTCTTGGCACGACCGATAAAGCACATTATCACGTAACAAATGCAAGTTTTTCCTCTGCCAAGGTTTAAAAATGAAGTGCCTAATATCGTGTGTCTATACCAAGGTTGCCATATTGGTTTTTTTAACGCCAAATTTCATGATTTTGGCTTTTTGGAAACACGTTTGGCGTCAGAATTTCCGTTTGGCTTTTTCTTGGATTTTTTGATGTCCACTCTACTGTCTATTATTAAAATAATTCAAAATACAATACAGGTATTTATTGTGCAACAATAGCAATCTCAGCTACTCAACATTTAGATTTTCCCTTAACCACAATCAATCAAAAAGATGCCAACAATGACATACATGTGCTATCGATTAAATTGAACTATGAGGAAGTCTGACCTTGGTCAGACGAAACGTTACAGAGATATATTTGTCTTAGTGTGCAGCAAGACTATTGTATTGAATCACTTAAAATAATATACCAATTGCAGTTTCTGCAGTCGCTCAGACAGATGTTCAAGCAGCTTCATTTTCTTAGTTTTGCATTTATCTTCCAAGGAGCTTTAGTTTGGTTGCGGTAATCAAAATTCTCGCAAACGACGTGATTATCTATATAGGCTAAAATCATCAGTAGACTATCTGTGCAAGCGGCATGTGATTAAATAATTTTAGTAAAAACGACGTCTTCGAACATGTGAACAAGTTTATAATCGCCAACACTTCAAACCAATCATGAAAAAAATTCAATAGTAAAATATCGGGAGAATTTTCTGAGGAATATATATCGCATGTTAAAGTAGAAACTTCCTAAAGCGGTATACATGATGTATTGTATTCACCTGAATTGAAAAAATATTGCTGTCTCTCTCTTTATCAGTAAAATATAGCAAAAAATGTAAATTTAACAAGTTTATCTAGAACAAGGCTGCCCAACCCGCGGCCCGCCAAACTGTTTTTTGCGACCGCCTATAATGTTTGTAAGCAGACTTTTTAAATTTTCACTATTTTATATATCAATATATAGGCTTAAGTATGTTTCGTGATTTTGGTGTGATATTTCTGCCATCTATCTACATTCAAATGCCGGTTCATATTATTACGTATGTGTCAAGTCTTGGACCCTGGTGGACATCGAAGTCAGTTTTTTTTTTCTCGCAAAACTGTACGTTCTGTTCGACGAACTCGAAAGATATTGTGTGATCATTGGGGACGAACGCTGAGCGCAATTATAGGTTATCGCAAACGTAAAATGAAAAGTCAACAATATCTTTGGTTTTGTTATGTTTGCGTTAAATAAGATTTCGGAAATGTCTTCACTAAAGTCGTATCCGTCAATAATTCTGAGGAAGTTGACATTGCTACATATTAGTCACAAATTAGTATATATAGGCTATTCGTCCAAAAATCTTTGTAATGTCACTTCATTAAATACTTTACAGGTGTTTCAAATTTTACAAAACGACCCACCTAACTTGATATTCCCGCGACATTGGCGCACATTATGCTTATTCAAACATTGACGCAGTATCATAGCTACTGAAAAAGAATGAATAAAAACACTATAACGCAAATATTACACTCAATTTTGACGTGATGTGTGTGTGTTCGTCAAAAAACCGCAAGTGTGTTGTGTAATGAATCTAATGATTAATTCTTTGATCCGGTGGCCCGCGAGTGTCATCCACGCACGTGTTACCAGATATTCGAATAATTTGCCAGCCCTGCACAGTAACCAGAAAGCAATTATTAACTTGATTGATTTTATGTTGATAAACTTGCCTTTCATGTGCTATTTAAATGACCTACACCGAAATCAGGACTTAGCTGGTATTAATGTTTGGTACAAACGTTTGCGGCCAGCAACGAATTTCGTCACGTGAAAGTGGCCCGCGAGACGAAAAAGGTTCGGCAGGTCTGATCTAGAACAGGAAACAGGACATATATGCAGCATTATTATTTGTCCACTTTTGTAATTGACAAAAATATCAAAAGCTAGCACAAACAAAAGAAAGAAGTCAGTTACAGCCACATAGAGGGCTATTAAATGAATAAAAACGCATAAATGAAGCAGGAAATCGAACAATTAAGAGAATACAGTTTGAAGTTTTTTCCCTAATATTTCACAATTTTTAGAATATATTTATAAAACATTATGACATTCAACGTATTTGTGGGAAGTATATTTCTAGGAATCATAATCACTGGCTGCGAAGCAAACAAGATTACAGAAGGTTCGCGGGTGTTTCTTCTCGATATTCATTGCTTCACAAAAATGAGAGCTAAGTTTCAATCAGGCAAAGCTTCTGATTTAAGAAGGATAAATGATTGATTATATATAATATACTATATTTTATTGTCAATAACCCATGTGTGGACACCGAAACTATATCACAGAACTATGACTAAATTATTGTCATATCTATTGTTTTACAAGTATTTTTTTCTATCATATGCTCGCGACTGAAAAATATACATTAAAATATAAGTGGCTGTTTAGTAAGATAGCAAATCATTAACGAATCTCCTTTATGTTACGTCTATGGCTATCTAAGACAATATTTTCTAGTGGATCTCCGAGGTTAATGGACTCAGATAATAAAATGCAGCGTCAAGAATGGGTAAAAACTTTGTAAAATAATGTAGTATCTTTCCAAATAGACTATGCGGACGCGCAACGTACGGCAAATAAACTATATCTTTGGGAAACTGTCAAATAAATTTTCGGCCATTGTCTTCCATATGTTTTTTCAAGAATACATTCAAATGACGTGAACGTTCAGTCATTGTTATTTTTCATATCGTGCCCTACATCCACGCAAATATGTTAGCGACTTATCGAGTAATCTTATTTACTTTTACAACGAAATAGTTGTATTACAAAGGAAATCTTGTCATTTTCAGATATCACTCTGGATTACCCACAAGTACAGACAACATCTGGCCTCGTTACTGGAGCTACGACAGTTGAATCGAATGCATTTTGGGAGATTCCGTATGCTCAACCACCTTTGGGCAAATTAAGGTACTACAACCATTATATGTATGGGTAATATGAGTCCAGTAAGAGTAAGACATAAGTGTATGATGTTCGGTATATATATATATATGAAAAACATTAATTTCTAAAATAAGTTCGGATAATAAGCATACTGAAATGCCATAACAGGAGCAAGTAAGTCGTGAAACAAATATTCTCATATCAATTGGCTTCTATATACACTTTCTTTTTGTCGTAAAATTCCTAATTATTTTTCCACATTGATATCTTCCTAGTTTTTGAATATTCGATGAATATCATCGGCTGTTTATTTCATAATAGTAGATAACGCAACAGATTTTGATTTGATTTTCATACAATATGTTCATTTAAAAGGATGTATTTGTCTATACGTTATTAATTTCTTACGATATACTCGGTCTCTAACAAACCATTTTACTGATTCTGGCGGTAACCAACGGTATTTTTTAGTTTGGCCCTATCAGCTATAGTTTACAATTGTGTCGCTAACAACTCCGTTGCCAGAGATATAACATGTGTCATAGATGTCAAAGATATTCTTCTGTATTAAATTTCCCGTTTTAACAAAACTATTTAAAACATTCCGATTTCCTGCAATCATACATTGACTCATCCAATTTTTTTTTCTATTTCATACTACAGGTACCAGGCTCCAAAGCCGATAACGACCCCAAATAATGAAATAAATGGAACAAACAATAACTTTCTTCAATGTTATCAGTATGAAGAAGCTTGTGCTTTTGTTTCTGAACATCGATGCCGGCTAAACGTAATCTAAAAATTTTTTGTCAACCAAAGGCATTATCCCATCAAAAAATAAACAATAATAAATTAAGAAAAATTTAAACGCAACTTCATTTTGGTACCTACCAATGACATTTTAGTACACATACCATTTTCATTGTTCAGTCAATCGAATATGATTGATTCATGATAAATTCATCATTAGAAGTAGAATGACAGAACCATATTGACATATTTTTGACAATTTCACATTTCTAATAACACAACTGACAACACAGATGATGTTTTAAAACTGAATCATCAACCCCAAGAATAAATGTGATAAATGATCTAACTCTAGATGAAAGAAGACTGCCTTATATTGAACGTATTTACTCCGGCGTCTATGGATCTTAAAAATGCAACAAAACCACCATCTGAAAAGCTCCCCGTGCTCTTCTATATTCATGGTGGCTTTTTCATTATCAATTCCGCGACACAGCCACGACATGATGGAAGAGAACTAGCGAATGTTACAGGAACCGTTGTAGTAACAATCAACTATCGCTTGGGTGAGGAGAGAAATTTACTCAGCAATAAATGCAGTTCAATTGACATTTAAAAAATAAATTTAGATTTTGTTTGACGCTGTAAAAAAAAGACTAATCGATCAATGCAATTAGGATATCTATCCAACAATATTTTGTAACGAAAAAATGTAGGGAAAGGGCACTTAGCAAACTTCTGGTTTGGTGAGAAAAATATTACCTAAAAGAATCTCTCAAAGTATATAGTTTGGAACATATGATTACTTCTTCAAACTTATTCCTTACCAATTCATCCCGTGCTTCTAATTGCAATATGCATAATGTGAGTTTTCAGTGAATATAAAGTCAATATAGGCTTCTCAAAGGTAACAAAGATTAAAATCTAGATAAATATATAGTTTAAAATTAACGTTATGTTCACATCAGGACCATTTGGTTTTCTGAGTCATCAACAAACGGGCCAGGAAGACATAAAAGGAAACCAAGGTCTGAAAGATCAACAACTTGCTATGAGATGGGTTCAAGATAACATTGCTAACTTTGGAGGAGACAAAACTAAGGTTGAGTGTAGCCCACACTTTTAAATATATCAATAGCTAATTAATAACGTATTGGAACATGTATACACTGAATACCTAGATTCTACGCTGAACTACCCATGTTGGCCAAATACCCATAATGAAGAAAATAAATAATATAATTGCTATATAATTTATGTCACACTTGTACTAAGGAAGATTTACAGTCATTGAAACATAGAAAAAAATGATTGTAACTTTTCATGTGCTTTTCAGCCATTTTATTTTTTATTAATATAATACCGAAAAAACTATGAAATAGTTTAATATTATTCAAATTTTCAGAGCTTTTGTATTAACTTCATTTCTTGTTTTAAGCGATACATTTTAAACCTTATCACCTAATTTTTAGTAGTGCCAATGAGTATGAAACTAACTATTTTCAATGTTTTATAATTGCGAACCTAGAAATTTAACATCCGGATAAAAATGACCAAGTCGTCGTAGAAAGTATACACAAGAGGAAAACGTCCAATTGCTGCTCTCCTATTTTCCTATATTTAGTATATAATGAGTTCATTTTACTTTTTATTTTATCTTATTAAGGTTACAATATTTGGTAACAGTGCTGGAGCCCAATCAGTCATGTTTCACACACTTTCCAACATTAGTAAAAATCTTTCCTCGAATTCAATTCAACAAAGTAATCCAGCTATTGCCTCATTTTACTATCCTTCACCGGAAATGTCACTGAGGATTACTAACAGATTGTTACAAAGTTTAGGATGTACCGGGGATGAAAGAGCTTGTTTGCTGTAAGTGAAACACTATTTTAATTTAAACAATTTTAATAAAATTCAAATTTAGATGTTCAATAAAGTTAAGAATGATAAATAAATTTTTTTTAGATAAAGATGTTTCATAAGAATTGAAAAGTAGTGTAACGTATTATAAATTTCGTTTAATATTATTCATAGGCTAAATACAATTACTTAAAACATGAAAACAAATATCTAAAGCAAGGTATCAAGAATGAATAGCTTACGTTATATGGCGTCGCAGCAATTCAATGACTCCCATTAAAATTGTATACATACAAATATAATGGCATACGATTTTAGTTTTGATGTTTTTTAATCAGAAATTCTACGCCGCAGACGATTGTCAATCAAACTACGCAAGTACAAAACTCAACTCAACATCAAGAAGGAAATTGGTTATATTCAATTGAAACTTATCTACCTGTAATTGACGGAGTCGAGTTCAAGGATTTGCCAATGAATTTATATAAAAGCGGTAAATGGAATTCTGATAAGGATATGATTATCGGCGTCACAACGGAAGAACAGGCAAATGATGCATATCTATATCCAAAAGATTTCAGCTTCGACGAGAAAGTGTTTTTGGTGAGTTCGTTTGGTATACCATAAATTAACTGTTTATTTTCCGATTGTTAGACCTTATATACGTGAACCTCTCCACAGTAGTCATTTTTTCCGTCATGCACCGCATGTAATGATTATGCAAACTTCAAATTTTAAAACATACCGTAATATCAAGAATTTAATCTGCTGTGCTTACATACTAATACCTCCATGATCATAATAATTTTTATAACAATATCAATGCATTGAAACCATCTAGCTGCTAGATATCACAACGTGAAGCTACAATCAATTATATAAATTTAAAGCATGTCAATAAGTTCTTAAAAAAAAGATTCTTAAAATCGTTTTGAGCATGATTTTCTAAATCCTGCATTGATTGATATTTCTTTGACGTTGAATATGTGACTGCTGACATCAAGGAATATTATTTGTTGAATATATTACTTTTAAGGATATGAACACGAATATCTTCGCCGATAAAGAAATCTCTAGTATTGTCGTCAATAAATACAAAGAGATTTATTTTACAAATTATGCAGATTTTCGTGCAACGTTCTCGAAAGAAATGACAGAATACATATTTCATTGCCCTAGCAGGCTGATGGCAAGGTATTTTTTGGTTATTTCGCAATATAATATGTATAATTTATCGAATCAAAAATAGAAATGATCACATTATCCAGCAACTTTAGTCAAGCAGCAGATTAGCATAATACATGCAGGTAGTGGAAGAACCGGAAACTTTGATTAGATAAAATTTGATCCCTTATGATGAATCTTATGGTACAATGAGAGATGCCGTATAATACTAGTTCATTTTTGTAATTGTTTCAACTGTTACCCAACAATCTATTGATTTCTATTGACAACAATGAACTGATTTCATTCCTTCTTGGATTTTAAGAATATATCAACCCACAATTTTCCCTCATAAAATTCATCTTTTTTGACTGTTATACATGGTGACTTAGTTAGAGGTACCATTGTTACCTACCAATAAGCTGCATCACCACAGACAATTTATGACAGATTAGCATCGCAAACATCCTCTGCCTCTGTATATTATTACGTCTTTGATGAGAAGATTCTCTCTGGAAAATGTGTTGAATATAATAGTGGAAATAAGACTGGATGTTACTTTGCTTTCCATGCGACAGAAATTGAGTTTATTTTTAGGACTTTTGATGAAGTCAGGTAATATGTACTATTGTTTTCAATTCTAACAAATTTATCCTTTATACAGTCAGATTTTTGTCAAATAAAGAATCAAAATGAGCATATATTTGCGTGGGAGGTAATAAATCTGAATGTCGTTCTAAATTGAAATTTAATGATGTAATTTTAACATTTAATTAGACCGGACAATTATACTGAGAAGCATTTGTCGGTGGAGAATCAATTTAGCACGTATTTGGGCAGTTTTGTTCGAACTGGAAATCCTTCAAGCGGCTTGAACAACTCTGTGGGGAGCTTTCCTTCTTGGCCAAAATACAAATTTAGCAATGGTAATTATAATTATCACTTTAAATTTTTTTTGTTTGACTTTTCAATTAGTATGTATATCTCATTAGAATTCTTAAAATTGTTTCAAATATTCGACGTCGTCGAAAATGATGTATTTGCACCTTCATTCAAAAAGGAGAAAATCCCATGTCGTTTATGTTGTAAAAATGGCTTAACAATATAGAAGAATATTTTAATCTAATAAATTGTAACAGTCATTTAAACTGTTTGACAACCCTAACTTTGATATATTCCATGTGTAGCGCGTAGTATAATATCTGAGCCAAATCAGGTAAGTTTGCAAAGTTTCGTCACATATATCCAAGCTTTTTTGTTTTATGTTTTACGTTGTTGCAATGTGTGTATTGCACATTACCGTCCACCAAATATCAATCTCAAGGCATAATTCACAAAATCGAATCGCTCAGAACGATTTTAAAAGAAAAAAGAAAAAAAGAACTTGGTGACATGCTTTGGGATGCTATATTTGATTGTAGCTTTGCGTTGTAAAATGCTAGATTTTTTCTAGGTGTTAATTACCATTTTACTGTGATTGAAGCGTATATTTGAATGCAGATAGAAACCAGTCGTGGTTGTATATGTACATCCATTCTCCATCCGGTGAAGTAAGACAGGGATTTCAGGATGAAATCTGTGATTTTTGGTATAGTATTAACTACGGACAACTTGATCACACGATGTCGACTGCAACAGAAACATCGATATACACCACTACCGAAGAACAAAGTACAACTAGTCACGCAATGCGCCCAATTCAACGTTCATCCGTGACAGTTACAGCGTTGCTTTTTGGGACGTTAGTATGTGTCCTCACACAATGTTGATTATAAATTCTTTCATGAAAATGTTTTAAGGTTAATTTGAACAATAATTGCATGTCACGTTTATAGGTTAGATTATAGAGTTAAATATAAAAATTAGATGATTGACATACAAAACATACTTTTATTAAATCAAAGTTATGAAGACAGAACTCAATATTTAGACATATTCATTTCAATCTAAATTATTTCAAAGGAGTCCTCACAGGTCCCATTTCAGCCTGCGGGTTAAAACAGTATCTCATGATCGCATCCTAAAATTCAGGTAAATTTTACCCGCATATCTTATTGAGCTGTGCACGCCTTTGAATAAATAAGAATGAACGTCTTTGATGATGGGTGTTGGTATTTATGTAAAAAGTGTTTCGTACCAAAGTCTAATCTGAAATTTCAAAATATCCAAGCCAATGACTTCCATTGAAAAATTAATTAATTTTTTAAACGGAGAGAAATACTGCTTCTGAATATCCTAAGATTTGACTAAACATGTTCCATATTCAATAAAAATGACTATGTAACATATGCGATTTCCATGTAGCTGATTTGACCATGCGTATGTCATCTTACTACGAGAATACAACGAGCATCAGTAAAAACACATTGGGGTTAAAATAATTTAATAAAAAAGCTACCACCTACGTACAGTGGCGGCCCGTGTTATCAATAAATTACTTCCCTGAGTTCCTGCCAATTTTAAATTGGTTGATGTTTATGCTTTATAATAGTGATATCCCCCCTTTTTTTACCGTGTTACACCTTTACAAACCTTACAAAGACCAATGTTTAAATATGCACAGAAAGTTTAAAAAAAAATCAAAATCTAGGTGGTTGGTCAAGTCATTACAACTGATTTTTTTATTTTCGACAGCCAGAAGCAATCCACGCTAAAGTTGTGTAAAAAACGCAAATACAATGTTGAGTTAGTGACCTCTTCGTTCTAGTACAGTTTCGAAAATTTGGTCATAACGGGGTTTTAAATCTTTCCGTCATACATGCATACTGGACAAAGTTTTAGCTACACAGAAATAAAATTGGTTCAGTACTCATTTCAGATAGATATGTAGTGGATGGTATATAAAAAGCTTCTTTATGCTACGCACTACATCCACTAAGCAATTGAAATCAGTTTATTTTGTGATGGCAATTGTGGAAGCATGAATAAACAATTGAAGTCGGTGTGTGATTTCTATATGATTGAATCGGTAGGTGGCGCCCCATAGTTTCAATCTTACCCATAATTACTATGCAAAAGGGCAAGCCTTCCAATCTATCGCAGATTTATCTTGTACCGTGATATTGACAAATATTACAACTTAAAAATAAGATACCGATATCTTCACAATGAAATAGCACGTAGACAATTATTACTTCATCGGTGCAATACAAAATCATATTTCTGTTTAGGTGTTAAAAACCAAATATCTGAAATCTATCCACGTAAAATTTTCCTCACTCTTACACGTCGAATTTGAGGCGTGGCTGCAACAACAAAAATAAAACGACACAAGGCAACAGGTAATAATTACTGCTCCAGTACGGCGAAAAGGTGAATATATGTGCAAAGTGCAACCTAGTTTCGTATTAGATGGATCATTTACAACGCCGCACCACCCCAAGAATGGTTTTAGACCTGGTAAATTTTTGTTCTCTTTTTTCCAATTGTTCACTTATTTTAGGTAAATCGAGAACAATACCAATGTTAAGCCATCGTGACCGATTTCTCGAAAGTATGGGCAAATATACAATCTAGCTCATAGGCTGAGTTTTAGTTTATACTCCACGCTTCCTTAACCCTATAATTTTCTCAAGGCCATACTATTCTATTATGTGACATATATCGCTACGCTGGATTGCATTTTAAAGGATCGCGTGATTAAACCGAGTTATTTTCACTGTTTGACTGGCAAATATTTGGTTATACCTCATTGAATTTCATTGTGATGAACGCAAGCTAAAAATTTTCAGTCAGTTGCTACTCACGACTGGTTGGTGAAAGAATCGGTACAAAATATTTTCAGATATTAGAAGAATAGGGAAAAGTTGAGGTTGTAAAAAAAGTTTTACCTAATATTATATTTGTCAAATAAAAAATGTCGAACAATGTAAAATAGGAAATTATACACTTTTCAAAATTTAACTATGTTAATTAAAACTATGATTGATAAACAATTTTGCCAAAAAATGCAGAATTGGAAAATTACCAACTTTTATAAGAATTCCTCGTCTTTAGACACAAAATATTACGTAGAGAAGAGTAAACAGGAAATAAATCGTGTTTGTTTGGGCATCAAAATACTTGCAGGTGTGTCGTGTGAGGTTGAGGATAGCGATGTGAGGAATTCCAGCAAATGTACTGGCATATCGTAGTAAGCGTATTCTAATTAACTGCATAGATAGTTAACAACAATACGAGGCTTGGGGAAAATACTTTTTCTAATTTTTTATTTTATTTCACATACTCACTTATCCAATTTTCTTCTATTGATAACATTCTGGCATTGACAGAATAATCCCAAATACGAATTTACCGATATTCACATTTTTTGACATGAGAATTTTTTATTATAGAGCTTTTGTGAATATTATTTATATTAAATAAAAATATATATAAATAAAAAATTAAAAAAGTTGATTTTAGTGTTTATATGAAAAATATTTGTTCAGATATTTCAGACTTTAGTTGTAGCCTATACAAAAGACATTTTCATTATAACTAGGTGTATAACAATTAAATGATTAGTTCCTCTTGACCTTGTATGTCTGATCTGGAAACTTCTACTTAGCTCTAAATATGGCTCTTTAAATATAGGTTTTTATTATTATTTGACTTTTCTTGAACATTCCATATTTTCAATTATCAGAAAATAGTTAATTTATTTAAATGCAGGGAGTATATTGTGTCTCTTTTTTTCATTTATTATTATTTTACTCGTATATATCGCACGCCTGTTTACTGCAATAAAATTTATTCACACTTAAAGACATTGTTATAAAACAAAAAATATATTGTAATTATATAATTGCATTCGCTCTTTTAAACGGTGTAGAAAAGTGGTTCTCTAACTTTTTAAGCCGCACCTGGTTTTTAGAATTTGTCAAGTCTCGCGCACTACCACAAAAATAACTAGCTAACAATAAGTTACAAAGAACAGATAGTATGTCGAAAGTATGGTTTATTCAAAATACACGTTGAAAATACGTGGACGTAAATAATGAAATATTTGAAGAGTTTTAAAAACAAACAAAATTTGTTGTTATTTTCATTGGTGCAGTTGTTTTTAACTGACAAGATCTTTAATTTGAAGTTTTGTGTTGGAAAATGCACATCGTAAATCGCTTTCATAGGGAAGCTGGTTTAGGGCTTTTGTGTCCACGTGTTTTGGAGTGGAGAACCCAATTTTGCATAAATACGTTGAAGAAAATGGTATCAAAATTCGCAGAGAAACATCACCCACATTTTTGTACACTTTCGCATATTCAACCCAGATTTCGCTGAGTGGCATTGTTCCAGAGTCGTCTTTTGAATTAATTTCTAAGAATTCTTCTTGGCAGTTTTCTGGCATACTGTACTCGTTGACAATGAATGGATTTCTTGTAAGTTTACATTTTGGGAGTTCACAACAAGATCGAATCTAAAAAAAAAAACATATTTTTATTTAGCTTCGCGCCCCCTTAAAAAATTGTCTACGCCCACTTGTGCGGCGTGCCCCACCGTTTGAGAACCACTGATGTACAGTGTTTGGAGACGAAATATGTGTTCGGATCTTACTGATAAAAAACTTTACAAAATCTTTCTTGAGTTGTTTAAAATTTTGATCCAGTTTGCTTGAGTGCTTTTAAATCGTATAGTTTAATGCCGAAATTTCTTAATTTAGCTGTCGATTGTAAATTAGCCACTTTTAATGCCTCACATTCACATATGATCGTGTCTATGACACTTAACTATTTATTTTTTAAATAACTCCTCCCATCTTGGAATGATTTTTTAGCTTCAATATACAATTAGTATGCGTTGACGTTGAAGTCATTATAATCTAATCGACAATCCTAATCAAAAGTTGTTTTTGAACTTGTTTTACACAGATTGGTTTGTATTTATTGTTTAAATATAATGGTTTCTAAAATATTATTTGCCATAGCATTTTATGGGATTGTTATTGTAGAATCTCTAAATGTACCAAATGGCCCTAATTTGTATGAATCATATAAACGCGAAGTACAAAGAAACCGATTGAAAATTGAATCTGTTCGTGCATCGAGAAGAATTAGTGGTATGTTTCAACACTAAATAACAACAATAAACGAATTCTATTCAATTTAAGAGTCGTGCTGCACACGAACACAATATATTTCTGACCTCGGTCAGACGAAACGTTACAGAAATGTATTTGTGTTCATGTGCAGCAAGACTCTTGAATTGAATAGAATAGCCATTTACACTGTTGCTACAGCATCCTTGCGTAATACGCATACAGCCTTGCGTAATACGCATCCACCTGCGCAAAGGCATAGAGAGCAAGGAAATGTACTTAGTTTCACGCAAACTAAACTGTTAGTTAAATAATCGAAATATTTCTTGTTCTTTGCTTGTAAACTTGGTATTCGAAACTTTTTAACAAAATTCGAAGCAAAGCAACCTAAGGTGCAGAAAAATAAGTTTCTGTAAAAATGGTTGAACTCCATTAATGGAACGAAACATAATCGTTTCACGTTTGACATATACAAATATTAGTTACGATGTCAATCTAAATTTGAAAAAACGATTTGGAATTGATAAAAGTACTCGAATAAATGAAACTGCACAAAATATTATTAAAACACGTGAATAGACTTCGATACATCGCTTTATTTGTAGAAGTTACACTGGATTTCCCTCAAGTAAACACCTCGTCGGGATTAGTTTCTGGAGCAAAGACCACCGAATCCAATGCATTTTGGGAGATTCCTTATGCTCAACCACCCATAGGCCAGTTAAGGTTAGTATTTTCAGTATACAATAAGTTTGCGCAAAAGTTTATCTCAATATCTATTGCACATTGTCGGAAACTATATATTCATCTTGATTTTCTATCGAAAATGTGATTATTTAATCAATAAAGATAGATCCGCTAATTGCCGAGCTTTTTTAGTTAGAAACAAATAGTAAATCAATACAATGAATCAAACATATTAAAAAACACTGAAAAAGTGTTAAAATCTTCAATCGTACATTTATAAGATGAACAAACCTAAGACCAATAAAAAGACAAGTACCCCAATATCATAGAAAATTAGGCCGAGGCAATGCAGATAAATATTATTACTGATTTTCAGGTTTCAGCCTCCTCAAAAAATTACAACACCCCATGAACATATAAATGGAACTTCAAACAACTTCCTTCAATGCTATCAATACGAAGATGTTTGTAAATCTGTCACTGAAGAACAATGTATTTTGAATGTAAGCGGTGAAATTATGATAACTCCGATTCTAACAAATATCGTTATATATAGCATATCATTGAAAATTACTTGCAGATATATATAGTGAATATAAAATTGTTATAAAACCCCCATTAACAATACACAAACTGCATTGTATGTATGTATCGGTTTCTTGGTAAATCAGTTGAAGGTTGTTTTATAGTTAACCTTATAATAATTGTAACAAAGGCTCTACAATTTATAATGATAATAAATTTGGTATTGTGAATTTCTGCAGATGAAAGAAGACTGTTTAATTTTAAATGTATTCACGCCCTCGTCTTTGGATTTGAGCGATTCTTCTAAACCTCCATCTGATCGTCTTCCTGTATTATTCTATATTCATGGAGGATTTTTTACAATAAATTCAGGAACACAGCCGAGAACGGACGGACGAGAACTTGCCAATTTCACAAATACAGTGATTGTTACCATTAATTACCGTTTAGGTATAATTTATCTTTTTAATAATTTATGTATAATGTATCATGTCCGTACTTCGTTCAGAAAAAGTCTATGTAAATCTAAGCACTCGAAAATGTTGAACGACAAACATTTCTTATCGAATTACAATTCACTGCATGTTTTCATTGGGCAAAATTCACCCTTCTACGTACTATCTACGTATAATGAGTATAAACGGCGTTACGTATGTTTGCAAAGGTCCTCTAGGTTTTTTGATGCATCAACAAGCAGGAGAAAATAGCATAGGTGGAAATCAAGGATTGAAAGATCAGCAACTTGCTTTAGAATGGGTCCAAGAAAATATTGAAAATTTCGGAGGAGATAAAACCAGGGTTTGTTGTTTCGTTAGTATTTTAAGTGTTGAAATGATAAACTATTTGCAGAAATGGAATGTTTCAAGTTACATACTGCTTCATGCTTTGTGGTGTTTTTGAATTTTTTCTTTTCATTTCAGGTCACAATATTTGGAGACAGTGCTGGAGCGCAATCTGTCATGTTCCATACACTTTCCCCCATCAGTAAAAATCTTTACACGAACTCAATTCAACAAAGTAATCCAGCTGCCTATTCATTTTATTATCCTTCACCGGAGATGTCACTGAGGATTACTAACAGATTATTACAAAGTTTAGGATGTACCGGAGACGAAAGAGCTTGTTTAATGTAAGCTTGACATTTTGGCAACATGAGTATATACGTCATGATACATTTTTCATTTCTATTTGATGTGATGTATTATATTTTATCCTATTTTCTGCTTTAGTGTAATTAAATCTGGAGCCACTATGATAATTCCTATTCTAATATAATTTATAGTATTATTCATATTTTTTTGTTTATATCTTCGTCTAACAGTAATTCGTCCGCACAACATATTATAAATCAAACACAATTGGTACAAGATTGGACGGCTCAGGAAGAAGGTTTTGGGCTTTATACATTCGAAACTTATCTACCTATAATTGATGGGGTTGAATTTACCGATTGGCCGATGGAGTTATACAGGAGCGGAAATTGGAATTCTGAAAAAGATATGATTATCGGTGTTACTGCCGAAGAGTTCGACACCATCATGTTTTCCATTCCAAAACAATTCAACTACACTGAAAATATTTTTGTAAGTTATTGATTAAAGGTATATTTTTGTTCTAGTCAACATAAATAGATCAACAAATAGTGAGACCTTATGTAAACATAATAATTAATTTGTATTTTATTAGTAATAGAAAGTTTGAAATGTCGTTTCAGGCTGCCAATGTTGAAGCATTTGGTATAGAAATGGCAAGAAGCATCGTTGACAAATACAAGGAAATATATCCACCCAATCAAGGTGAAGATTATCGAGTAACTTATGGAAAGCAGATAACAGAATACTTATTCACATGTCCAAATAGGCATATGGCAAGGTAACTAACTATATATCACTGTAAAAACATTTAGAAATATGTATTTGGGATAATGTTCATGACCTACCAGAGTATTTGTCGCTGACACAAGTTTTGACATGAAAAAACTAGAACGTCAATTCCCAGAACAGATCATTGTTTGGAAGCGAACCGTGGTACTTACTAGGTGTTCCTTCATGCCCGAAAGAAAAAAAACAAAGCCATTGCTGACAAAAAATAACTCTTACTATTTTACACCGGTATATGATTCATTAGTTTTATCATAAGAGCAATGAGAATACGTTGTAAAATGGGTACTCCCGTAGTGTGTGTCCCAGGTTAGGGTTAGGCCATAATTTGATTCCGATTTTTCGTATTTTAGTTCTATTATGAGTTCAGGTACTGTCAATGTTAGACAAGTAAATGTACCCACATAGGTTTCAATCCCTTTACGCACTTGATGTAAAGTAGGCGAACAAAATTAGTTACCTCAATATTGGTACACACACTTGTGGAGCGCCGAAAAATATCCCAATATATATAATTAAGTAAATCTCAAATATTTACTTACTGTATTACATTGTTTAAGATTAGCAGCAAATACGACATCTGCTTCCGTGTATTATTATGTTTTTGATGAAAAGGTACTTTTTCTGGGTTGCTTTTATGCGAATGGAGGAAACGCCACTGGATGTTATTATTCTTACCATTCAGCTGATGTGCCATTTGTTTTCAGAACAGTTGAAGAAGTTAGGTATGTAATAAGGAAACCTAGGAATGGAAAAAACACTGTGCGTTAGGTTTTAAATTTAATCTAAAAAAAGTTACTTCTTATAATACGATTCATCAGCCATCACTTTGTGTCATTTTTTTATTGAATTTGTTATCGATCAGTTGGTGGTCTTTTTACAATTTTCTTCAGGTATAATAATTTGGTACAGTAAAGATTTGCTCTAGCTTGATAAAAGAAAAATTTTAATTACGTAACTTTTTTTAGTTTCCGTACTTGGGTTTTATATGGATTTGTGTAAAATAGGTTGGTGTAAAACTAGTTATTTCTTTTAGTCAAGTTTGTTGAAAACCTATTTATATTTATTCATCTAAATCTATTATTCAGCTTCGAAACCTACACGGAAGATCACTTATCTGTTGAGAATCAATTCAGCATATATTGGGCTGGCTTCGCTCAAACAGGAAACCCGTCCAGTGGTTTGTTAAACTTTGAAGAAAATTTTCCATCATGGCCTAAGTACAATACCGGTGACGGTAAGTATTATGATTAACTATTATCCGTACAAGATTCTCATCGCCAATTTGTCAATTCGACACAAAAAAATTTCCCTTCTGTTACACGATGATTACACTCAAATATTATTTGCGAACTTTCGCATCACTTATCCGTGTCAATTATAATAAGGTAGTTAATATATGTTTCATAATTAGCATGTCTCATTGGTATATCCTGGCTAAGTACAATTATTAAAAATAAAATATATAACAGTTTTTCATGTGACATATCGCTTAAAGTAAACCTTTTCTCCGTCTTTATGTCAGTTTACGCCTAAGTGATCATAAATGAAATAGACGCTTATTATATGAAAGTTCATGAATTATTGTCATATGATGCTTTAACTATTATACCACCCACGCGATTGTTGGTTTGAACATTGTCAACTTATAGGAACTGCAAATTGCGATGTGAAAATTCTAATATTTTGTGAGATTCGAATAAAATAGTCAATTCCATTTCATGAATCAAATATTTCGAGGTTAGCCATTTTATAATATTAAACACTCGCATTACCTCATATTTACAGGTTCAAGTCAACCATGGCCGTATATGTACATCCGTTCGCAATCTAGTGAGGTTAGGTATGAATTTAGAGCCGAAATTTGTGACTTTTGGGATGATCTTGGTTATGGAGGTCCATTTATTAAAAATGTATCTACCATGGAAACGCCCAGTAATTCAACATCAATGTTTACCGAGTCTTCATCTGAATCTACAACGAGTCACGCTTCAAGACTGAGTGTGAACACAATAACGCTGGTTACCGATCACATGATCGTAATCACGTGCTACATGATGTCACGGCATTATTAACCTAGGTATCACTGATATAATGATATACCATTAATATTAAATTCACTACTTTTATGATTATTTTATAAATTAATAAATATCTGCCTACTAACATAGTCAAAATTGCAGCTTTAGTTCGGTAAATATTACTTTCTAGCGATGCTACACGGATCTTTTTAGTTGGACAGTAATAATAGCCACAGCATGTGCCGTTTAATCGTGTTTTTCATATAGTTCATAGTACATTCTTTACAGTTGTAATTTATTTTCCTTTGAATTGCTGTTTTTGAAAATTCTCAATGAAACCCCGTAACTTTCTATGTGTGTCATTTTTTATGCCCTAATAATTTATCACAGGATGAAGATAATATATATTTGAAATATTCCTCATAGATTTTTTCATTAACAGGAACACCACTTTGTTTAATATATCGTATGACTCTTCAATAGTAATTACGATTATTAATAAACTATATTGTAGAACGTATAGTAATACGAATTTCAATTTATGAACCATGCAGTTGAGTAGGTAAGCTAATAGTGGTAAGCTAATAGTCAGAGTTGTCTGAAATGGAGTATTAAAAACATGAAGTATATTCAAATAGATCAGTGCGGTTTGTCATTAGAAAATTCTTGGTAATGGCACACAAGGGAAATAAATTGATTTATATTACAAGTTGAATGAAATCTCATTTAAAAGATGCAAAATATTATATAAGCCAGCATTCTGTTTCGCCGTAAATATGCAAAACAAAGCATGTTTTGAATATAGTTATTAAATCCTTCTCACATACTACTGGAGACGACATGAGTTCATAATTTAGCAGAATCGGCGAATTGCAGTAATAAGTACGGGACTCGAGTTGAATCTATCGAGTCCTCGACGTCATAAAGACACGTTTTCGACAATGCTGCAACATCTCGCAATCGTCAGCGTGAACTTTATCCCGTATCTATTTTCATTTGGTTATTTGGCCACAATACATAAACGAATGTCGCCATGGTCACCATTAATGATTTTGAGCGTATTTCATCACATCTGGCATTGCAACCACACGAAACAAAAAGCGGTGAAATTCTTTCATGTCAATTTCGAGAATCACAAATTTGGCTACCATACATCTTCGGTCGGGGTAAATCGGACACCCGGGGTATGATGGTCAGTCAAGATAAAATCCTCGTAATAGCGACACCTCGCGCTTTTTCGTCGCTCAGAACGCATCGCGTGAAAGAGCGACATCATGCGAACAACGACAAAACCAAGATTTCACATTTCAGGCTCGACAACTTACAAGGCGGTGCTTTTTGGGGAAAGGGTGTTTCTGTTGGGACAGAAAAACGTGGTGGCAAAGAATAATTTTAGTCTGAAAAGTCGCGAACTCGGTTCTATTTTGTTTATTTGTTGAAAGTAGTTGCATTAGATAGAATAAATTCTCTGGCAGACTGCCGGTACTCATTTTTGGGTTGGCAGGGTCACTTAAGAGGTAGGGTGGATTTTGGAAGGGGGAGGTGGGAGGATTTTTTTCAATATAGTCTGTTGGAAATGTCAATGGTCCGTCGTCATCGAAACTTATAAATAATTATTTTTTGGTACTAAGTACCCTTTTACAACAAAGATCAAAAGCACACTCATCGCCATATTTATACTGGGTCTCTTAGAAGTTAGGCCCGGCGTAAAATTTCATCTTACCCCGTCCAATTTTTTTTTCCATATGCGTATAAAATACGCCCAAGGTTATGCCAAGAAATTTCAATATAAATACTTCTAGAGGTAGTCCGTGTAAAGAAGATATAAAAATTGCAGCTGAAAAAGTGCAAACTAAATTTTAAATTTCTAGTTTTCCTAAAACTGGTCAAACTCTTTCGAAAATTGCCCTGTTATGTCCTTTATGGGGTAAGACTGACATACTTTTTAATATGCAAGAAAAGTGATCTGTTTAAAAAAAAATTAAGAGACAGAATCCTGAGCCATCTAGGCTCTGACCGAAGTCTTATGACCAAAATCTTAGACACCATCAAGTTTATTTTGGTGTGTGTCCGTCTTGCCCACAAAGGATCTAACTTACCCCGATATTTTTTTAGCTGAAAATCGAGCGTAAATTCCGATTCGTTGCTATGGCAACAATGTGCAAATGTGGCAAGATAGCTGGAGGGTGGGTGCATAAATCAAACGTAGAACGAATGCAGCTACGACATTATTTGAAGAGTTATTTAAAATAACTTATTAGTGGGCCCGACTTCCCCCGACCTACTATATGAAATATCTGTGTAAACGGCAGAGCAGTAATTCCGAACCTGCGGGACCCCTAACGCTCTGCGGTGGTACGCTGGTCTATTTCTGGTGGTACGCGAGATATTGAGTAACAAACTAAACGTCTCATCCTGAGAATAATTCTATGAATTTTCACTCTCAAATAAGGCTATGACTTATTATAAGTAATATTTTCGTATTTTAGATTTGCGGCGTTCTGAATTATCATTGTCATTGTACAGGTGAGTAGTCGTTTTATACGCTACATTTCCCAACGTGAATAAAAGAAACTCACTGCCAGTAAAGTAGATTGATTGATTTTAGAGAGGAAAGGCGATATTGTTCGTGATTGATGTTTGAATTCACCGCTTATTGCTTCGGGACCGAAATATTCAAATAGGGCTAAAACGCTTCGACTGTTTGTGAAACATATTAGCGTCCTCACATCACGTCTTCACACGTGATGGCGTGCGTGGGTTGGAATTTGCGGATGTCGCGATGACTTGTGGTGGCACGCATATCCGCTTGTCGCTGACAGCTCGCCCCTTCCCAGTTAGCTATTTTTATTTTGAACCTGGACTAGTAACGGGGCGAAAAACATTCTAGCATAAAATTAGCCGTGTCAGATTTTTCTTTCCTGGATTATCTATCGAATATTCATTTTTTAGGTATTACCTCGAGTCCGCTTATAGTATTTGCTTTCAAATCAAATAAATTTAGTTTGTCATTTGCTCTTGCCAATGCTGTTCATTAGCGTTCTACGATGAAATAGTCAATTCATCAGTGCGATTTGGTTTTTATACCAGCCCTATTTTTTTCGGCGATGGGGTTCCCTATTCCAAAAATGATATCGCACCACTATATTTCAAAAACTCAAGCCCTAATCTCTAAAATATTGCTGTCAAGTGCTCAGACAAAATGATTGTATTCATTTAACGAATAACCTTCAAAAATGTTTTTTTTTACCAACGTGTAAATGGTAACTGATGGCTCTCGAGGATTCGAAACTATATCTTCCTAGAAAACTCGGTCATTATTAGTTGTTTTTTATTCTTATTCGATTGCAACAATATACCATATAAATCGACATGTATATACTGTAGTTATTATTGTTGACAATGTTATATTGAATACAAATGATATTCAATTTCTGCTAAAGTAATGGGAAATTGTGATTGTTGTGCTTTCTACAATCGCATCCGCATGGAATCTGAAAATAAATGTTACATTAACATATTACTCGATAACGACGTACAGAAAAAAAGGGGGGTATAGATGAAATGATATTGGCAGATGTTAGTGAACAGTGAACATTAAAAAAAGGTGAGTGAGAAGATTAAAAAAGAAAATAAAAAGCACGAAACAAGTAAAAGGTAATTCAAGAAGATAGAAAGGGAATGTGAATTCAAAAACTCTACATACTTTCACATCAACATTTCCTTTGTATAGTTTTCCGTAGTTCTTGTAGATTGCTAGAATGCTGCGGTAACACCATATGGTGGAACATCTACACTGGCCTTTAGATTCGTGTTTTGATTTCATTGGTGATGAATACAAATTAGAGCTTTGATCATGATTGTGTTTTTGAACGTGATCATTCGGAGAAGGATACAGGTGTTCGGAACTAGTTTCTTCATGATCACAATGTTGGTCTGGAATTCTGGAAATTTGATAAAAAACTTCTTGTACGACATTGTATCATTTCACTCGATTTTACCCCAGTGGTGTTTCGCATATAGCGTAAAAAAATTACCTTTGAGCGGTAAATTAGATAAACAATAAAGAATTAGATAAACAATGCAATCTAATTTAACTGGAAGCATTTACGCTTTTCTTGCAGTAGTAGTACAGCAATGATCTACACACATTATATGATCGTAAGAATATGTATCTACATACGCTTTCAACTTAAGGATGCAGTTACAATATATGTTGTTATTATGATAATATTTAATATGAAAAACACGAACTTGCATTGAACTGCTCTGTGAACGTAAGGTTTGTATAACTTGACCACTCTGGTGCATTTTGTTGAAGCAAAATGCGAACGCTGAATGCATTTCTTCTCACTGCAGCTTGTTTTCGGGCGATCAATATGATCAATATGATGTTGTTTGACATGGTTAGAAGCGGTGCACGATTCTTCCGGACCCGAGAATAACCTAGAGAAATGAATTACATATTTATATTTGAGACATCAATTCATATATATGTACATATATATATAGAGTTCTAGAATCTCAATTATATTTTAATTGAGATTATTGAGAACAATTCGCATAACTTACGCATTCATGATCCCAGAAATTAGGCTGTAAACACTAATCAGTTCCCAATAGAAATAAACTGGCGATTACTGGAATTATCGCACTTGATTTTGTCGTGCTATACGAATATTGACATAATAATTTTATATTCAGGAAAATCTGCGTAAAGACGTAAAAATTATGAAAGAAAATCAATGTAGATCTGAGGTATTGGAATGTTTCGCTGCAGTTCTACACGGCAAATTTTTTGCTGAAGGGAACTACAACCAGGTAACCATAATATGTCACAATTCTTTCATAACCTATCACAATATTAAAACGAATCTGATAATGCTTATTCAAAACAGATTTTAACGGCGAAATTCACCGCGAACCAAAAAGAATTACACATGGAATTGAAGATTGAAATCAGTAAACATCCAGATAATTTTGAATTTGTGAAAAGTACCGTTGAGGAGCATGGAGAATCTGTAAGTAATATTCGCAACGAAGCAATAAACTAATCGACAAATGAACAAGTTCAAATCATGATAGTGAGAAAGCTCACAAACTGTTAATTCAAAAGTTCGACCATTCACCAATCAAAATTTGCAATAAAAATGATTTGCATGCTATACATAAACCACTGTTTAGATTGGGTCCAAGGATTTCATATTAGGTTCATCATTAAAGCATTTTGATTGGTCAGTATTGGACTAACCGCAACTGCGAATCAAAGGAATTAGCTACCGCAAACGGATAAATATTCTCTGTTCACACTGTAAATTTTGCTCATTTAGCCCAGTGTCGACGATGTGAAACAACTGCTCATGGAGCAGGCAATTACTCATTCGGTTCTCGGAGCGATGATCGGAAACTACACAAATCGCTTCATCACTAATATCAACAATAATTCGAATGTTCTGATGTGAAGAAAATTTTACGACTTGATTTGATCGCCATATAATTCATGTTAAACAACTTTAACAACAATAATTTTTCATGCTGCGTTATTTTATATTTGCGTCTATCCGTAATTAGATATATTTGTGCTAAATTTTCGCCGGACTATGAAGGAAAACGGTGCCTAAAATCATCGAATTCTGAAGCCGGCGGTACTGGCCGAGTTATCGAGTTATGTACCCGATGCAACGTTACACCATGTGTTACAATATCAGAAGGCGCCTTATGGAGGTGCCCGTTGAAGACTAAACAAGGTAGCTGAAAGTATGATCACATGCAACAGTGTTAGCTACTTATAATCTGAGTGTTTTAATAAGTACCCAAAATAGCATGATTCAAACAATTCTGTTTTCTGTCCGTAAAATAAAATTTTCTATATATATTCTCAAACAGTAGGCTTCAATATTTTTTACTCTTGAGTGTGATCCTTGAATTAGTGTTTTCTTGCATAGACAAAGGTCTCTCAATATGACCAAGGCCGCGGTAAAACAATGCCTGCATGCCGCGAGGCATCTTTATAAGGTTTTATTGATAAACTTAGACTAATTAAGTTAAATAATTTTTCTAGACGTTGTATACTTTGTGCAATCTTTTTTTATGATTTGCAATAAATGGCATATCGTTATATTATCTTGGATAGGTATTTGGTTTCGACGGAATCGAGGTACTTACTCTACTGCAGGGGTTCTGAAACTTTTGGTCTCATAGAGCCTTTGAAAAGGTCGACTATTACCTGTGGAACCCGCAATGAATTTTATCCTTCGTAAGGAGCAAAACAATGTTTTCTTCCTCGCAATACAAGTAATTACGGTTCTTATATCTAAGCTTACGCTATTAAATACCCAACTACAAAAATCGAACTTGTTACTGGAAATACAAATGTTCTTGCAATGAGATAGGAATAATGCAATTTTTTAGTAAACGCACCGTGAGTTTTCCCCTGATAATTTGGCGCCAAACGTGCAAAAAGTTCGGAAACCGCTGCCCCATGGGATTTGAACCTTTGTGTGGAAGATTTTACGATAAAACAACCCCCGAGGCATCGATGGGAAAATTGAACTCATAAGATAACTCAAACCATTTTATGCCGACCCATGTTAGAATTTTTACTCACATGAAGGATATTACGGACAGAGTCATTCAACTGTAATTTTGCGATAGGAACTGCGATATCGGCAGTTGAAAGACCAAGTCAAAATCTTTAAAACCCCAGGAAAGTCATTTCACAGACACACGCCACCGAGGGTTCCTTCGTCACAATTTAGTTATCATCCAGTCGAGAGTGGATTTTTTACAACCGGGGGTGCCAATCATGGGTAAATAATCTTAGCGTTTTTTTAATAGCTCAGATACGATAGTCGCATGAAAACGATTTCAGAATACATGGCCAAAAAAATCAAGATTCTCTGAAGATCACATACCATGATACAAATATTCTGAGCGTGCTAGAAACTTTTTATTCATAATCTAAAATCATCAGGGTCTGATCATATTCTAACCGTAACCAGACATAAATACAGTTGAATAAAAGGTGTAGAGGTTAATATGCTTCAGCCCTTGGCATGAAAGGTCGCAAGCACAGACTTGTTAAGATGTAAATCATAAAATTATAGCAATTATGTAATTATTATTTTAGTCTTGTACATTAATTTTAAAAATTTATTCAAATTTGATTAAAACATTATGATGCCATTGACCCAATTTGATGAGTTGTTGTAGTGTTCTGTTGCAGCTCCTATATCTGAGCTGAATAAATTTTGGAAAATTGGATTTCTAAACACACCATCACGAAAAAGAGAACCAAACGAATACCTGCCGGCGAAGTGACGGCGAAAGCTTTCTGTAGTGCTTATGTTAAATGTAAAGGGACTTAATGTATGACTCAAAAGGCTTGCCAGTACCGACGTAACTATGCAACGACAAAAACTTGTGCGGCAATGTCAGTTGTGCAATAATATAGAACAAATATTATATCATCAAATAACAAGCTGAACTTTGGACTGTCCATATCACTTCGTTCCCAACCTATGATGTAATTCATATACCAGACAGAATAACTTGGGGTTGCACCCTGTTGTTTTTTGTAAAACCTTTTTATTCGTCTTTCGTGAAGCGCTGCTTCTTTAAATAGTACGCGAGTTGAAATAAAAACAAGAAAGACCTTTCTCAAAAATTATCTTGTGTATTTTTACTATAATTCGTCCGCAATTTATGTCATTTCCTATTTCACGGTGAAACGGGTTGAGGACTTTTTAAAATTTTCGGGATAAATCTTCTACTAATCCCGACTAATCCACGACTTTGGATGAAAAAGACATTTTGTAACAATTCATCTTTATGCTAGTAGACATGAATAATATAATCGAATAAGAAAAACGACTATTTGACCTGCATCCCATGAGAAGTAATAATATGCATAATTATATGTTTTACGCAAATAATACCAAAAATTTATTACTATGCAGTATTTTTATTGTAATGTAATTATGTATAACCTGTCTTATTTTAGTTAGAAAATTTTGCAAACATTATATCATATCAAATACAAATACCAGCTTTCATATGTTTAAAAATTTATTAAGCATGATTACTTATATAAAAGACTTAAAATATCATAGTATTAATATGTACTGAATTGATATAAAATCACAGTTCATAATTCATATTTTTTACAAATATATCGGAAGAATCTCGAATCGTAACACTTTTTAGGGAAGTAAAATTTGAACCAAGAATAATTATAAAGTAGCATTTTTCAGACTATTTTCAGTAAAGACCCACAGTTCAAGGACTCTCTATACAGTTCACTAGTTTTTCGAATACCAGATGTGTTCAGTATCGCAGTCGGATTGCTGAGCTGTCACACATAATGAGAATCATTATCATCAGCATTTTATCATTAACTTACTGGGTAGATAGAAGTCATATGACAAAAATGCATTTTTAAATTACAAAAGCCTCCCTCATGTGATCTGGGTAGGCTTGGTCTGATGTCAGTTTTTTCAGCTACAGAAAATAATTGCATATTGGGGTTGATGTTGCGAATACAACGACGAAAACTTGTGCGGCCATGTCATATAGAACAAATATTGTATCCCTAAATAGTACAACGTTCTGTTCGATTTATATACCTATGATGCCATCCATATACTAAACAGAATAACTTAGGATTGGTAAACTCATTATATTTTCATTCATCTTCCGTAAAGCGCTGCTTGTTCAAATAGAGGTACCCGGGTTCGGACGCCTCTAAATTGTTAAAAAGTATACTATGGCGACAGAATTGACAAAGAAGGGTGGGGCTTCATCTATTTATTTGCATAGCTGATTACGAATGTTATTCAATATTACAGTAGAATTTTAACTGGGGGTTTTCCGGGTATATTGTAGGTACATCGCCCTATAAAATGCGTCGCCTACATATATATATTTACATATATGATTTATTTTTACGATCGTGTTTGGTACAATTTGGTTGAATTTACAGCAGCTTACATTTTTCTTGAAAGATGACCGACGTTAATGTGTTGAAAAATAATAAAGTAGGTAAAGGTGGCAATAAAGACGGAAAGGTGAGTGATGTTACAATATTTTTAGCCTGGCTAATCGCGATCGTATAATTCAGATATAATCTAATTGTATTCTTTCTAATAAACAAACCTTTCATGAGCTCAGACCAGCAGACACATTCTTAGAATTTGAAATTGCAGCTTATTATTTTTGACATTTGCTATGAAAGGTGGCTGTTGTTCACAACGCCAGGTTTTTTAGTTCCTTCGCGACCATACTAGTGAAATTTCGACAAAGAAAATCTTGACAGTTCAAAGTAATTTTTTGTGAACATTAAATGTTTTTAATAAGAAAAAAAAATTTTCAGTCATGGATGCGAACAAAACTCATCAAGATCGAGAGATGGATTAGTGAACTTAGCCTTATCCAAAGGACAAACCGCGAGGCGACCATGCAACTCGGAGAAGACCAACAAAAGACGAAGTCGGACATGTTGAAAATCATCCAGACACTGAACGAGAAAATTGAAGAAACAAGACTTGAGTTTGGACGGGAATTACGGAGCCTAAAAAATAAGTCTTCCCGCCACGATTCCGTACGCAACCGAGTTGATGATTTGCACAGCGACATGGAAAACGAAATAAAAATGATGAAAGATCTGTCCGATAAAGTCCAGATATTGGAGGGAAGCATGGACAGCTTGAATGGAAAGGTTAGCGTAGCTAAGTCGAGTTATTCCATAGAAATATCAGTGCAATTAGATAGGCTCAATTTAAAAATCTATAGATGCAACAAATCTGGCGATTTTTATTCGATAAAATTAATTTTATTTTTACAATGCAAATAGCGTTCAAATTAAAAAATAAAAGTTTGTTTGATTTCTTGCAAGGTTGATTCTATGAAACAGAACATAGATATGATAGTCGGCGATTTGAAAGCGTTGAAGTGTTCTATGGACAATTTCAAAAAAGAAAGCGAAGAAATGAATAAAGTTCGAGCTAAAGAGCATGTGTGTATATATTTTGCTTTCAAATTTATTCAATATTTTACTCGATCTGTCTTTTTTTTTCACCAGACTTGTATGCAGATAATGTGATCCATAAATTGTACCATTTTCCAAATGTCGATTTGAATTGCCATTATTTGGGCAATACTGGAATATAAAATATTGACATAGTATAGCATTGATCAAGAAGCCGTTTTATTGTGTCAGTTATTACTTATCGATCTTAAGATCGGTAAGTATGTTGTTAGGTATCTGTCTGTTTGTTTGTTTGTTTGTCTGTTAGATACACGCGATATCTCACGAAAGCGAGGTTGAATCTGCTCCAATCTGCTCCATTTTGCATGTGCATTCATCATAGTTCGGAACAGAAGACTATTGATTTTCGATGAATTATGTCGTATAATTAGCGAGTTAATTAATTAGTGTTGGGACACATGGTGTCACTATGGAGTAAGAGCGCTGTTTTGGGGGATCCCCTAACCTCCGACCGATATTCTCGTTTGTAACTTAATTAATATCACAACAATTTGCATAACTTACGCATTCATGCTCCCAGAAATTAGGCTGTAAACACTAATCAGTTCCCAATAGAAATAAACTGGTGATTACTCGAATTATCGCTCTTGATTTTGTCGTGCTATACGCATATTGACTTAATAATTTTATATTCAGGAAAATCTGCGTAAAGACGTAGAAATTATGAAAGAAAATCGATGTAGATCTGAGGTATTGGAATGTTTTGCTGCAGTTCTACATGGCAAATTTTTTGCTGAAGGAAACTACAACCAGGTAACCATAAAATTTCACATTTCTTTCATAACCTGTCACATTATTAAAACGAATCTGATAATGCTTATTCAAAACAGATTTTAACGGCGAAATTCACCGCGAACCAAAAAGAATTACACATGGAATTGAAGATTGAAATCAGTAAACATCCAGATAATTTTGAATTTGTGAAAAGTACCGTTGAGGAGCATGGAGAATCTGTAAGTAATATTCGCAACGAAGCAATAAACTAATTGACAAATGAACAAATTCAAATCATGATAGTGAGTAAGCTCACAAACTGTTAATTCAAAAGTTCGACCATTCACCAATCAAAATTTGCAATATATAAAATTGATTTGCAAAGGTTTAAATAAACCACTGTTTAAATTGGGTCCACGGATTTCATATTTCGTTCATCATTAAAGCATTTTGATTGGTCAGTATTGCACTAACCGCAACTGCGAATCAAAGGAATTAGCTACCGCAAACGGATAAATATTCTCTGTTCACACTATAAATTTGCTCATTCAGCCCAGTGTCGACGATGTGAAACAACTGCTCCTGGAGGCAGGCAATTACTCATCCGGTTCTTGGAGCGATGATCGGAAACTACACAAATCGCTTCATCACTAATATCAACAATAATTCAAATGTTCTGATGTGAGGAAATTTTCTCGACTTGAATTGATCGCCATATAATTAATGTTAAACAATGTAAACGAGCAATCGCATCGAATTATATTTTAACATAATAATTTGTCATGCTGCGTTATTTTATCTTTGCGTCTATCCGTAATTAGATATTTTGGCTAACTTTTCGCCGAACTATGACGGAAAATAAAGTCATCGAATCCTGAAGCCGTGGTCGTGGCATCGAGTTATGTTCCCGTGCAACGTCATGTTTTACAATATCAGAAGGCGTCTTATGAAGGTGCCCGTTGGAGACTAAACAAGGTCGTTGAAAGTACGATGACATGCAATAGTGTACTTATATATAATGTGGGTGTTTATTATGTACCCGAAATATCATGATTGAAACAATTCTGTTTTTCGTTCGTAAAATAAAATTTGCTATATTGTCAAACAGTAGGCTAATATAATATTTTTACTCTTGAGTGTGATCCTTGAATTAGTGTTTTCTAAAATTTTCTTGCATAGACAAAGGTCTTTCAATATGACCATGCCTACATTAAACCAATGCCTGCCACGAGGCATCTTCATAAGGTTTTATTGATAAACCTAAGCTAATTGAGTTGAATAATTTTTCTAGACGTTGTATACTTTGTGCAATCTTTTTTATGATTTGCAATAAATGGCATATCGTTATATCATCTTGGATTGGTATTTGGTTTCGACGGAGTCGAGGTACTTACACTACTGCAGGGGTTCTCAAACTTTTGGTCTTATAGAGCCTTTAAAAGGTCGACTATTATCTGTGGACCCCGCAATGAATTTTACCCATTGTAAGGAGCAAAACAATGATGTTTTCTTCCTCGAAATACAAGTGATTACGGTTCTTATATCTATGCTTACGCTATTAAATACCCATCTACAAAAACCGAACTTGTTACTGGAAATACAAATGTTCTTGCAATGAGACAGGAATAATGCAATTTTTCAGTAAACGCGCCGCGAGTTTTCCCCCTGATAATTTGGCGGCGCACAAACAAAAAGTTCGGAAACCGCTGCCCTATGGGATATGAACCTTTGTGCAGTACATATTACCATAAAACAAACCCCGAGGCATCTGTCTGAAAATTAAACTCATGGGGTAACTCAACCAGACTTGTGCCGACCCACGTTAGAGCTTTTACTCACATGAAGAATACGGACAGAGTCGTGCAACTGTTATTTTGCGATAGAAACCGAGGTATCGGTAGTTGGAGGACCAAAGTTAAAATATTTGAATAGAATATTCTTTGTCACAATTTTGTTACTATCCAGTCGACAGTGGATTTTTTATACCCGGAGTTGCCAATCATGGGTAAATAATCCTAGCGTTTTTTTAAGCTCAGTTACGATAGTCGCATGGAAACGATTTCAGAATACATGGCCAAAAAAATCAAGATTCTCTGAAAATCACATACCATAATACAAATATACTGATCGTGCTAGATACTTTTTATTCATAATTTAAAATCATCAGGGCCTGATCATATTCTAACCGTAACCAGACTTAAATACAGTTGAAAAAAAGGTGTGGAGGTTCAGCTGCTTCAGCCCTTGGCATGAAAGGTCGCAAGCACAGACTTGTTAAGATGTAAATCATGAAATTATAGCAATATTTGTAATTATTATTTCAGTCTTGTACATGAATTTTGAAGGTTTATTTAAATTTGATTGAAACATTATGATGCCATTGACCCACTTTGATAAGTTGTTGAAGTGTTTTGTTGCAGCTTCTATATCCAGGCTGAATAAATTTTGGAAAATTGGATTTCTAAACACACCATTACGAAAAAGAGAACCAAACGAATACCTGCCACAGTGACGGCGAAAGCTTTTTGTGGTGCTTATGTTAAATGTAAAGGAACTTAATGTATATATAACTCAAAAGGTTTGCCAGTACCGACGTAACTATGCAACGACAAAAACTTGTGGGGCAATGTCAGTTGTGCAATAATAAAGAACAAATATTATATCATGAAATAACAAGCTGAACTTTGGACTGTCCATATCACTTCGTTCCCAACCTATGATGTAATTCATATACCAGACAGAATAACTTGGGGTTGCACCCTGTTGTTTTTTGTAAAACCTTTTTATTCGTCTTTCGTGAAGCGCTGCTTCTTTAAATAGTACGCGAGTTGAAATAAAAACAAGAAAGACCTTTCTCAAAAATTATCTTGTGTATTCTTACTATAATTCGTCCGCAATTTATGTCATTTCCTATTTCACGGTGAAACGGGTTGAGGACTTTTTAAAATTTTCGGGATAAATCTTCTACTAATCCCGACTAATCCACGACTTTGGATGAAAAAGACATTTTGTAACAATTCATCTTTATGCTAGTAGACATGAATAATATAATCGAATAAGAAAAACGAATATTTGACCTGCATTCTAGAAAAGCAATAATATGCACAATTATATGTTTTACACATACAATACCAAAAATATAATACTGTGCAGTATTTGTATTATATTGTAATTATATATAATCTGTCTTATTTTAAAGTTAACTTATATTTACCCGATGCTAAATAAGAAATTTTTGCGAACATTATATCATATCAGATATAAATACCAGCTTTCATATGCTTTAAAATTTATTAAGCATGATTACCTGTATAAAAGACTTGAAATATCATAGTATTAATATGTACTGAGTTTATATAAAATCACAGTTCATAATTCATATTTATACGTATATATCGAAAGAATCTCGAATCGAAACTCTTTTTAGGACATAAAATTTGAACATAGAATAAATATAAAAAGCATTTTTCAGACTATTTTCAGTAAAGACCAACAGCTCAAGGAACTTCTCTACGGTTCACAAGTTGGTCTGAGCATTTTCGAATACCAGATGTGTTCAATATCGGAGTCGGATTTCTGAGCTGTCACACATAATAAGAAAAATTATCATCAGCATTTTATCATTAACTCACTGGGTAGAAAGGAGTCATATGACAGAAATGCATTTTTAAATTACAAGAGCCTCCCACATGTGATCTGGATAGGCTTGGTCTGATGTCAGTGCAATCAGCTAGAGAAAATAATTGCTTATTGAGGTTAATGTTGCGAATACAACGACGAAAACTTGTGCGGCCATGTCATATAGAACAAATATTGTATCCCTAAATAGTACAACGTTCTGTTCGATTTATATACCTATGATGCCATCCATATACTAAACAGAATAACTTAGGATTGGTAAACTCATTATATTTTCATTCATCTTCCGTAAAGCGCTGCTTGTTCAAATAGAGGTACCCGAGTTAGGACGCCTCTAAATTGTTAAAAAGTATACTATGGCGACAGAATTGACAAAGAAGGATGGGGCTTCATCTATTTATTTGCATAGCTGATTACGAATGTTATTCAATATTACAGTAGAATTTAAACTGGGGGTTTCCTGGGTATATTGTAGGTACATCGCCCTATAAAATGCGTCGCCTACATATATATATTTACATATATGATTTATTTTTACGATCGTGTTTGGTACAAATTGGTTGAATTTGCAGCAGCTTACATTTTTCTCGAAAGATGACCGACGTTAATGTGTTGAGAAATAATAAAGTAGGTAAAGGTGGCAATAAAGACGGAAAGGTGAGTGATGTTACAATATTTTTAGCCTGGCTAATCGCGATCGTATAATTCAGATATAATCTAATTGTATTCTTTCTAATAAACAAACCTTTCATGAGCTCAGACCAGCAGACACATTCTTAGAATTTGAAATTGCAGCTTATTATTTTTGACATTTGCTATGAAAGGTGGCTGTTGTTCACAAGGCCAGGTTTTTTAGTTCCTTCGCGAACATACTAGCGAAATTTCGACAAAGAAAATCTTGACAGTTCAAAGTAATTTTTTGTGAACATTAAATGTTTTTAATAAAAAAAAACATTTCAGTCATGGATGCGAACAAAACTCATCAAGATCGAGAGATGGATTAGTGAACTTAGCCTTATCCAAAGAACAAACCGCGAGGCGACCATCCAACTCGGAGAAGACCAACAAAAGACGAAGTCGGACATGTTGAAAATCACCCAGGCACTGAACGAGAAAATTGAAGAAACAAGACTCGAGTTTGAACGGGAATTACGAAGCCTAAAGAATAATGATTCCCACAACGATTCCGTACGCAACCGAGTTGATGATTTGCACAGTGACATGGAAGAAGGAATAAAATTAATGAAAGATCTGTCCGATAAAGTCCAGATATTGGAGGGAAACATGGACAGCTTGAATGGAGAGGTTAGCGTAGCTAAGTCGACTTATTCCAAAAAATATCAGTGCAACTGGATGGGCTCAATATAAAAATCTGTAGATGCAACAAAATAGGCGATTTTTTTTTCGATAAAATTGATTTTATATTTACAATGCAAATAGCGTTCAAATTGAAAAATAAAAGTTTGTTTGATTTCTTGAAAGGTCGATTCTATGAAACAGAACATAGATATGCTAGTCGGCGATTTGAAAGCGTTGAAGTGTTCTATGGACAATTTCAAAAAAGAAAATGTAGAAATGGATAAAGTTCGAGCTAAAGAGCTGGTGTGTATATAATCTGCTTTCAAATTTATTCAATATTTTACTCTATCTGTTTTTTTTTTCACCAGACTTGTATGTAGTTAATGCGATCTATAAATTGTACCATTTTCCAAATGTCGATTTGTATTGCCATTATTTGGACAATACCGGAATATAAAATATTGGTATAGTGTAGCATTAATCAAGAAGCCGTTTTATTGTGTCAATTATTTGTAACTTAATATCACAACAATTCGCATAACGTACGCATTTCATGATTCCAGAAATTAGGCTGTAAACACTAATCAGTTCACAATAGAAATAAACTGGCGATTACTGGAATATCGCCCTTGATTTTGTCGTGCTATACGAATATTATCATAATAATTTTATATTCAGGAAAATCTGCGTAAAGACGTAGAAATTATGAAAGAAAATCGATGTAGATCTGAGGTATTGGAATGTTTTGCTGCAGTTCTACATGACAAATTTTTTGCTGAAGGAAACTACAACCAGGTAACCATAATATGTCACAATTCTTTCATAACCTATCACATTATTAAAACGAATCTGATAATGCTTATTCAAAACAGATTTTAACGGCGAAATTCACCGCGAACCAAAAAGAATTACACATGGAATTGAAAATTGAAATCAGTAAGCATCCAGATAAATTCGAATTTGTGAAAAGTACTGTTGAGGAGCATGGAGAATCTGTAAGTAATATCCGCAACGAAGCAATAAACTAATCGACAAATGAACAAATTCAAATCATGATAGCGAGTAAGCTCACAAATTGTTAATTCAAAAGTTCGACCATTCACCAATCAAAATTTGCAATAAAAATGATTTGCATGTTATACATAAACCACTGTTTAGATTGGGTTCAAGGATTTGATATTTCGTTCATCAATAAAGCATTTTGATTGGTCAGTATTGCACTAACCGCAACTGCGAATCAAAGGAATTAGCTACCGAAAACGGATAAATATTCTCTGTTCACACTATAAACTTTGCTCATTCAGCCCAGTGTCGACGATGTGAAACAACTGCTCCTGGAGCAGGCAACTACTCATCCGGTTCTTGGAGCGATGATCGGAAACTACACAAATCGCTTCATGACTAATATCAACAATAATTCAAATGTTCTGATGTGAAGAAAATTTTCTCGACTTGATTTGATCGCTATATAATTCATGTTAAACAATGTACGTAAGCAATCGCATCGAATTATAATTTAGCATAATGATTTGTCATGCTGAGTTATTTTATCTTTGCGTCTATCCGTAATTAGATATATTTGTGCTAAATTTTCGCCGGACTATGATGGAAAACGGTGCCTAAAATCATCGAATTCTGAAGCCGGCGGTAGTGGCATCGAGTTATGTACCCGATGCAACGTTACACCATGTGTTACAATATCAAAGGCGCCTTATGGAGGTGCCCGTTGAAGACTAAACAAGGTAGCTGAAAGTATGATGACATGCAACAGTGTAGGCTACTTATAATCTGAGTGTTTTAATAAGTAACCAAAATAGCATGATTTAAACAATTCTGTTTTCTGTCCGTAAAATAAAATTTTCTATATTTTTAAACAGTAGGTTAATATAATAGTAGGCTTCAATATTTTTTACTCTTGAGTGTGATCCTTGAATTAGTGTTTTCTTGCATAGACAAAAGTCTTTCAATATGACCAAGGCCGCGGTAAAACAATGCCTGCATGCCGCGAGGCATCTTTATAGGGTTTTATTGATAAACTTAGACTAATTAAGTTAAACAATTTTTCTAGACGTTGTATACTTTGTGCAATCTTTTTTATGATTTGCAATAAATGGCATATCGTTATATTTGGTTTCGACGGAGTCGAGGTACTTACTCTACTGCAGGGGTTCTGAAACTTTTGGTCTCATAGAGCCTTTGGAAAGGTCGACTATTATCTGTGGAACCCGCAATGAATTTTACCCTTTGTAAGAAGCAAAACAATGTTTTCTTCCTCGAAATACAAGTAATTACGGTTCTTATATCTATGCTTACGCTATTAAATACCCAACTACAAAAATCGAACTTGTTACTGAAAATACAAATGTTCTTGCAATGAGATAGGAATAATGCAATTTTTTAGTAAACGCACCGTGAGTTTTCCCCTGATAATTTGGCGCCAAACGTACAAAAAGTTCGGAAACCGCTGCCCCATGGGATTTGAACCTTTGTGTGGAAGATTTTACGATAAAACAACCCCCGAGGCATCGATGGGAAAATTGAACTCATAAGATAACTCAATCCATTTTATGCCGACCCATGTTAGAATTTTTACTCACATGAAGGATATTACGGACAGAGTCATTCAACTGTAATTTTGCGATAGGAACTGCGATATCGGCAGTTGAAAGACCAAGTCAAAATCTTTAAAACCCCAGGAAAGTCATTTCACAGACACACGCCACCGAGGGTTCCTTCGTCACAATTTAGTTATCATCCAGTCGAGAGTGGATTTTTTACAACCGGGGGTGCCAATCATGGGTAAATAATCTTAGCGTTTTTTAATAGCTCAGATACGATAGTCGCATGAAAACGATTTCAGAATACATGGCCAAAAAAATCAAGATTCTCTGAAGATCACATACCATGATACAAATATTCTGAGCGTGCTAGAAACTTTTTATTCATAATCTAAAATCATCAGGGTCTGATCATATTCTAACCGTAACCAGACATAAATACAGTTGAATAAAAGGTGTAGAGGTTAATATGCTTCAGCCCTTGGCATGAAAGGTCGCAAGCACAGACTTGTTAAGATGTAAATCATAAAATTATAGCAATTATGTAATTATTATTTTAGTCTTGTACATTAATTTTAAAAATTTATTCAAATTTGATTAAAACATTATGATGCCATTGACCCAATTTGATGAGTTGTTGTAGTGTTCTGTTGCAGCTCCTATATCTGAGCTGAATAAATTTTGGAAAATTGGATTTCTAAACACACCATCACGAAAAAGAGAACCAAACGAATACCTGCCGGCGAAGTGACGGCGAAAGCTTTCTGTAGTGCTTATGTTAAATGTAAAGGGACTTAATGTATGACTCAAAAGGCTTGCCAGTACCGACGTAACTATGCAACGACAAAAACTTGTGCGGCAATGTCAGTTGTGCAATAATATAGAACAAATATTATATCATCAAATAACAAGCTGAACTTTGGACTGTCCATATCACTTCGTTCCCAACCTATGATGTAATTCATATACCAGACAGAATAACTTGGGGTTGCACCCTGTTGTTTTTGTAAAACCTTTTTATTCGTCTTTCGTGAAGCGCTGCTTCTTTAAATAGTACGCGAGTTGAAATAAAAACAAGAAAGACCTTTCTCAAAAATTATCTTGTGTATTTTTACTATAATTCGTCCGCAATTTATGTCATTTCCTATTTCACGGTGAAACGGGTTGAGGACTTTTTAAAATTTTCGGGATAAATCTTCTACTAATCCCGACTAATCCACGACTTTGGATGAAAAAGACATTTTGTAACAATTCATCTTTATGCTAGTAGACATGAATAATATAATCGAATAAGAAAAACGACTATTTGACCTGCATCCCATGAGAAGTAATAATATGCATAATTATATGTTTTACGCAAATAATACCAAAAATTTATTACTATGCAGTATTTTTATTGTAATGTAATTATGTATAACCTGTCTTATTTTAGTTAGAAAATTTTGCAAACATTATATCATATCAAATACAAATACCAGCTTTCATATGTTTAAAAATTTATTAAGCATGATTACTTATATAAAAGACTTAAAATATCATAGTATTAATATGTACTGAATTGATATAAAATCACAGTTCATAATTCATATTTTTTACAAATATATCGGAAGAATCTCGAATCGTAACACTTTTTAGGGAAGTAAAATTTGAACCAAGAATAATTATAAAGTAGCATTTTTCAGACTATTTTCAGTAAAGACCCACAGTTCAAGGACTCTCTATACAGTTCACTAGTTTTTCGAATACCAGATGTGTTCAGTATCGCAGTCGGATTGCTGAGCTGTCACACATAATGAGAATCATTATCATCAGCATTTTATCATTAACTTACTGGGTAGATAGAAGTCATATGACAAAAATGCATTTTTAAATTACAAAAGCCTCCCTCATGTGATCTGGGTAGGTTTGGTCTGATGTCAGTTTTTTCAGCTACAGAAATAATTGCATATTGGGGTTGATGTTGCGAATACAACGACGAAAACTTGTGCGGCCATGTCATATAGAACAAATATTGTATCCCTAAATAGTACAACGTTCTGTTCGATTTATATACCTATGATGCCATCCATATACTAAACAGAATAACTTAGGATTGGTAAACTCATTATATTTTCATTCATCTTCCGTAAAGCGCTGCTTGTTCAAATAGAGGTACCCGGGTTCGGACGCCTCTAAATTGTTAAAAAGTATACTATGGCGACAGAATTGACAAAGAAGGGTGGGGCTTCATCTATTTATTTGCATAGCTGATTACGAATGTTATTCAATATTACAGTAGAATTTTAACTGGGGGTTTTCCGGGTATATTGTAGGTACATCGCCCTATAAAATGCGTCGCCTACATATATATATTTACATATATGATTTATTTTTACGATCGTGTTTGGTACAATTTGGTTGAATTTACAGCAGCTTACATTTTTCTTGAAAGATGACCGACGTTAATGTGTTGAAAAATAATAAAGTAGGTAAAGGTGGCAATAAAGACGGAAAGGTGAGTGATGTTACAATATTTTTAGCCTGGCTAATCGCGATCGTATAATTCAGATATAATCTAATTGTATTCTTTCTAATAAACAAACCTTTCATGAGCTCAGACCAGCAGACACATTCTTAGAATTTGAAATTGCAGCTTATTATTTTTGACATTTACTATGAAAGGTGGCTGTTGTTCACAAGGCCAGGTTTTTTAGTTCCTTCGCGACCATACTAGTGAAATTTCGACAAAGAAAATCTTGACAGTTCAAAGTAATTTTTTGTGAACATTAAATGTTTTTAATAAGAAAAAAAAATTTTCAGTCATGGATGCGAACAAAACTCATCAAGATCGAGAGATGGATTAGTGAACTTAGCCTTATCCAAAGGACAAACCGCGAGGCGACCATGCAACTCGGAGAAGACCAACAAAAGACGAAGTCGGACATGTTGAAAATCATCCAGACACTGAACGAGAAAATTGAAGAAACAAGACTTGAGTTTGGACGGGAATTACGGAGCCTAAAAATAAGTCTTCCCGCCACGATTCCGTACGCAACCGAGTTGATGATTTGCACAGCGACATGGAAAACGAAATAAAAATGATGAAAGATCTGTCCGATAAAGTCCAGATATTGGAGGGAAGCATGGACAGCTTGAATGGAAAGGTTAGCGTAGCTAAGTCGAGTTATTCCATAGAAATATCAGTGTAATTAGATAGGCTCAATTTAAAAATCTATAGATGCAACAAATCTGGCGATTTTTATTCGATAAAATTAATTTTATTTTTACAATGCAAATAGCGTTCAAATTAAAAAATAAAAGTTTGTTTGATTTCTTGCAAGGTTGATTCTATGAAACAGAACATAGATATGATAGTCGGCGATTTGAAAGCGTTGAAGTGTTCTATGGACAATTTCAAAAAAGAAAGCGAAGAAATGAATAAAGTTCGAGCTAAAGAGCATGTGTGTATATATTTTGCTTTCAAATTTATTCAATATTTTACTCGATCTGTCTTTTTTTTTCACCAGACTTGTATGCAGATAATGTGATCTGTAAATTGTACCATTTTCCAAATGTCGATTTGAATTGCCATTATTTGGGCAATACTGGAATATAAAATATTGACATAGTATAGCATTGATCAAGAAGCCGTTTTATTGTGTCAGTTATTACTTATCGATCTTAAGATCGGTAAGTATGTTGTTAGGTATCTGTCTGTTTGTTTGTTTGTTTGTCTGTTAGATACACGCGATATCTCACGAAAGCGAGGTTGAATCTGCTCCAATCTGCTCCATTTTGCATTTGCATTCATCATAGTTCGGAACAGAAGACTATTGATTTTCGATGAATTATGTCGTATAATTAGCGAGTTAATTAATTAGTGTTGGGACACATGGTGTCACTATGGAGTAAGAGCGCTGTTTTGGGGGATCCCCTAACCTCCGACCGATATTCTCGTTTGTAACTTAATTAATATCACAACAATTTGCATAACTTACGCATTCATGCTCCCAGAAATTAGGCTGTAAACACTAATCAGTTCCCAATAGAAATAAACTGGTGATTACTCGAATTATCGCTCTTGATTTTGTCGTGCTATACGCATATTGACTTAATAATTTTATATTCAGGAAAATCTGCGTAAAGACGTAGAAATTATGAAAGAAAATCGATGTAGATCTGAGGTATTGGAATGTTTTGCTGCAGTTCTACATGGCAAATTTTTTGCTGAAGGAAACTACAACCAGGTAACCATAAAATTTCACATTTCTTTCATAACCTGTCACATTATTAAAACGAATCTGATAATGCTTATTCAAAACAGATTTTAACGGCGAAATTCACCGCGAACCAAAAAGAATTACACATGGAATTGAAGATTGAAATCAGTAAACATCCAGATAATTTTTGAATTTGTGAAAAGTACCGTTGAGGAGCATGGAGAATCTGTAAGTAATATTCGCAACGAAGCAATAAACTAATTGACAAATGAACAAATTCAAATCATGATAGTGAGTAAGCTCACAAACTGTTAATTCAAAAGTTCGACCATTCACCAATCAAAATTTGCAATATATAAAATTGATTTGCAAAGGTTTAAATAAACCACTGTTTAAATTGGGTCCACGGATTTCATATTTCGTTCATCATTAAAGCATTTTGATTGGTCAGTATTGCACTAACCGCAACTGCGAATCAAAGGAATTAGCTACCGCAAACGGATAAATATTCTCTGTTCACACTATAAATTTGCTCATTCAGCCCAGTGTCGACGATGTGAAACAACTGCTCCTGGAGCAGGCAATTACTCATCCGGTTCTTGGAGCGATGATCGGAAACTACACAAATCGCTTCATCACTAATATCAACAATAATTCAAATGTTCTGATGTGAGGAAATTTTCTCGACTTGAATTGATCGCCATATAATTAATGTTAAAAAATGTAAACGAGCAATCGCATCGAATTATATTTTAACATAATAATTTGTCATGCTGCGTTATTTTATCTTTGCGTCTATCCGTAATTAGATATTTTGGCTAACTTTTCGCCGAACTATGACGGAAAATAAAGTCATCGAATCCTGAAGCCGTGGTCGTGGCATCGAGTTATGTTCCCGTGCAACGTCATGTTTTACAATATCAGAAGGCGTCTTATGAAGGTGCCCGTTGGAGACTAAACAAGGTCGTTGAAAGTACGATGACATGCAATAGTGTACTTATATATAATGTGGGTGTTTATTATGTACCCGAAATATCATGATTGAAACAATTCTGTTTTTCGTTCGTAAAATAAAATTTGCTATATTGTCAAACAGTAGGCTAATATAATATTTTTACTCTTGAGTGTGATCCTTGAATTAGTGTTTTCTAAAATTTACTTGCATAGACAAAGGTCTTTCAATATGACCATGCCTACATTAAACCAATGCCTGCCACGAGGCATCTTCATAAGGTTTTATTGATAAACCTAAGCTAATTGAGTTGAATAATTTTTCTAGACGTTGTATACTTTGTGCAATCTTTTTTATGATTTGCAATAAATGGCATATCGTTATATCATCTTGGATTGGTATTTGGTTTCGACGGAGTCGAGGTACTTACACTACTGCAGGGGTTCTCAAACTTTTGGTCTTATAGAGCCTTTAAAAGGTCGACTATTATCTGTGGACCCCGCAATGAATTTTACCCATTGTAAGGAGCAAAACAATGATGTTTTCTTCCTCGAAATACAAGTGATTACGGTTCTTATATCTATGCTTACGCTATTAAATACCCATCTACAAAAACCGAACTTGTTACTGGAAATACAAATGTTCTTGCAATGAGACAGGAATAATGCAATTTTTCAGTAAACGCGCCGCGAGTTTTTCCCCTGATAATTTGGCGGCGCACAAACAAAAAGTTCGGAAACCGCTGCCCTATGGGATATGAACCTTTGTGCAGTACATATTACCATAAAACAAACCCCGAGGCATCTGTCTGAAAATTAAACTCATGGGGTAACTCAACCAGACTTGTGCCGACCCACGTTAGAGCTTTTACTCACATGAAGAATACGGACAGAGTCGTGCAACTGTTATTTTGCGATAGAAACCGAGGTATCGGTAGTTGGAGGACCAAAGTTAAAATATTTGAATAGAATATTCTTTGTCACAATTTTGTTACTATCCAGTCGACAGTGGATTTTTTATACCCGGAGTTGCCAATCATGGGTAAATAATCCTAGCGTTTTTTAAGCTCAGTTACGATAGTCGCATGGAAACGATTTCAGAATACATGGCCAAAAAAATCAAGATTCTCTGAAAATCACATACCATAATACAAATATACTGATCGTACTAGATACTTTTTATTCATAATTTAAAATCATCAGGGCCTGATCATATTCTAACCGTAACCAGACTTAAATACAGTTGAAAAAAAGGTGTGGAGGTTCAGCTGCTTCAGCCCTTGGCATGAAAGGTCGCAAGCACAGACTTGTTAAGATGTAAATCATGAAATTATAGCAATATTTGTAATTATTATTTCAGTCTTGTACATGAATTTTGAAGGTTTATTTAAATTTGATTGAAACATTATGATGCCATTGACCCACTTTGATAAGTTGTTGAAGTGTTTTGTTGCAGCTTCTATATCCAGGCTGAATAAATTTTGGAAAATTGGATTTCTAAACACACCATTACGAAAAAGAGAACCAAACGAATACCTGCCACAGTGACGGCGAAAGCTTTTTGTGGTGCTTATGTTAAATGTAAAGGAACTTAATGTATATATAACTCAAAAGGTTTGCCAGTACCGACGTAACTATGCAACGACAAAAACTTGTGGGGCAATGTCAGTTGTGCAATAATAAAGAACAAATATTATATCATGAAATAACAAGCTGAACTTTGGACTGTCCATATCACTTCGTTCCCAACCTATGATGTAATTCATATACCAGACAGAATAACTTGGGGTTGCACCCTGTTGTTTTTTGTAAAACCTTTTTATTCGTTGTTCGTGAAGCGCTGCTTCTTTAAATAGTACGCGAGTTGAAATAAAAACAAGAAAGACCTTTCTCAAAAATTATCTTGTGTATTCTTACTATAATTCGTCCGCAATTTATGTCATTTCCTATTTCACGGTGAAACGGGTTGAGGACTTTTTAAAATTTTCGGGGTAAATCTTCTACTAATCCCGATTAATCCACGACTTTGGATGAAAAAGACATTTTGTAACAATTCATCTTTATGCTAGTAGACATGAATAATATAATCGAATAAGAAAAACGAATATTTGACCTGCATTCTAGAAAAGCAATAATATGCACAATTATATGTTTTACACATACAATACCAAAAATATAATACTGTGCAGTATTTGTATTATATTGTAATTATATATAATCTGTCTTATTTTAAAGTTAACTTATATTTACCCGATGCTAAATAAGAAATTTTTGCGAACATTATATCATATCAGATATAAATACCAGCTTTCATATGCTTTAAAATTTATTAAACATGATTACCTGTATAAAAGACTTGAAATATCATAGTATTAATATGTACTGAGTTTATATAAAATCACAGTTCATAATTCATATTTATACGTATATATCGAAAGAATCTCGAATCGAAACTCTTTTTAGGACATAAAATTTGAACATAGAATAAATATAAAAAGCATTTTTCAGACTATTTTCAGTAAAGACCAACAGCTCAAGGAACTTCTCTACGGTTCACAAGTTGGTCTGAGCATTTTCGAATACCAGATGTGTTCAATATCGGAGTCGGATTTCTGAGCTGTCACACATAATAAGAAAAATTATCATCAGCATTTTATCATTAACTCACTGGGTAGAAAGGAGTCATATGACAGAAATGCATTTTTAAATTACAAGAGCCTCCCACATGTGATCTGGATAGGCTTGGTCTGATGTCAGTGCAATCAGCTAGAGAAAATAATTGCTTATTGAGGTTAATGTTGCGAATACAAAGACGAAAACTTGTGCGTCCATGTCATATAGAACAAATATTGTATCCCTGAATAGTACAACGTTCTGTTCGCTTTATATACCTATGATGCCATCCATATACGAAACAGAATAACTTAGGATTGGTAAACTCATTATATTATCATTCGTCTTTCGTAAAGCGCTGCTTGTTCAAATAGAGGTACCCGAGTTAGGACGCCTCTAAATTGTTAACCAGTATACTATGGCAACCGAATTGACAAAGAAGGATGGGGCTTCATCTATTTATTTGCATAGCTGATTACGAATGTTATTCAATATTACAGTAGAATTTAAACTGGGGGTTTCCTGGGTATATTGTAGGTACATCGCACTATAAAATGCGTCGACTACATATATATATTTACATATATGGTTTATTTTTACGATCGTGTTTGGTACAATTTGGTTGAATTTACAGCAGCTTACATTTTTCTTGAAAGATGACCGACGTTAATGTGTTGAAAAATAATAAAGTAGGTAAAAGTGGCAATAAAGACGGAAAGGTGAGTGATGTTACAATATTTTTAGCCTGGCTAATCGCGATCGTATAATTCAGATATAATCTAATTGTATTCTTTCTAATAAACAAACCTTTCATGAGCTCAGACCAGCAGACACATTCTTAGAATTTGAAATTGCAGCTTATTTTATTTGACATTTACTATGAAAGGTGGCTGTTGTTCACAACGCCAGGTTTTTTAGTTCCTTCGCGACCATACTAGTGAAATTTCGACAAAAAAAAATCTTGACAGTTCAAAGTAATTTTTTGTGAACATTAAATAATGTTTTTAATAAAAAAAAAAAAAATTTCAGTCATGGATGCGAACAAAACTCATCCAGATCGAGAGATGAATTAGTGAACTTAGCCTTATCCAAAGGACAAACCGCGAGGCGACCATGCAACTCAGAGAAGACCAACAAAAGACGAAGTCGGACATGTTGAAAATCATCCAGACACTGAACGAGAAAATTGAAGAAACAAGACTTGAGTTTGGACGGGAATTACGGAGCCTAAAAAATAAGTCTTCCCGCCACGATTCCGTACGCAACCGAGTTGATGATTTGCACAGCGACATGGAAAACGAAATAAAAATGATGAAAGATCTGTCCGATAAAGTCCAGATATTGGAGGGAAGCATGGACAGCTTGAATGGAAAGGTTAGCGTAGCTAAGTCGAGTTATTCCATAGAAATATCAGTGCAATTAGATAGGCTCAATTTAAAAATCTATAGATGCAACAAATCTGGCGATTTTTTTTCGATAAAATTAATTTTATTTTTACAATGCAAATAGTGTTCAAATTCAAAAATGAAAGTTTGTTTGATTTCTTGCAAGGTTGATTCTATGAAACAGAACATAGATATGATAGTCGGCGATTTGAAAGCGTTGAAGTGTTCTATGGACAATTTCAAAAAAGAAAGCTAAGAAATGGATAAAGTTCGAGCTAAAGAGCATGTGTGTATATATTTTGCTTTCAAATTTATTCAATATTTTACTCGATCTGTCTTTTTTTTTCACCAGACTTGTATGCAGATAATGTGATCTATAAATTGTACCATTTTCCAAATGTCGATTTGAATTGCCATTATTTGGACAATACTGGAATATAAAATATTGACATAGTATAGCATTGATCAAGAAGCCGTTTTATTGTGTTAGTTATTACTTATCGATCTTAAGATCGGTAAGTATGTTGTTAGGTATCTGTCTGTTTGTTTGTTTGTTTGTCTGTTAGATACACGCGATATCTCACGAAAGCGAGGTTGAATCTGCTCCATTTTGCATGTGCATTCATCATAGTTCGGAACAGAAGCCTATTGATTTTCGATGAATTATGTCGTATAATTAGCGAGTTAATTAATTAGTGTTGGGACACATGGTGTCACTATGGAGTAAGAGCGCTGTTTTGGGGGATCCCCTAACCTCCGACCGATATTCTCGTTTGTAACTTAATTAATATCACAACAATTTGCATAACTTACGCATTCATGCTCCCAGAAATTAGGCTGTAAACACTAATCAGTTCCCAATAGAAATAAACTGGTGATTACTCGAATTATCGCTCTTGATTTTGTCGTGCTATACGCATATTGACTTAATAATTTTATATTCAGGAAAATCTGCGTAAAGACGTAGAAATTATGAAAGAAAATCGATGTAGATCTGAGGTATTGGAATGTTTTGCTGCAGTTCTACATGGCAAATTTTTTGCTGAAGGAAACTACAACCAGGTAACCATAAAATTTCACATTTCTTTCATAACCTGTCACATTATTAAAACGAATCTGATAATGCTTATTCAAAACAGATTTTAACGGCGAAATTCACCGCGAACCAAAAAGAATTACACATGGAATTGAAGATTGAAATCAGTAAACATCCAGATAATTTTGAATTTGTGAAAAGTACCGTTGAGGAGCATGGAGAATCTGTAAGTAATATTCGCAACGAAGCAATAAACTAATTGACAAATGAACAAATTCAAATCATGATAGTGAGTAAGCTCACAAACTGTTAATTCAAAAGTTCGACCATTCACCAATCAAAATTTGCAATATATAAAATTGATTTGCAAAGGTTTAAATAAACCACTGTTTAAATTGGGTCCACGGATTTCATATTTCGTTCATCATTAAAGCATTTTGATTGGTCAGTATTGCACTAACCGCAACTGCGAATCAAAGGAATTAGCTACCGCAAACGGATAAATATTCTCTGTTCACACTATAAATTTGCTCATTCAGCCCAGTGTCGACGATGTGAAACAACTGCTCCTGGAGCAGGCAATTACTCATCCGGTTCTTGGAGCGATGATCGGAAACTACACAAATCGCTTCATCACTAATATCAACAATAATTCAAATGTTCTGATGTGAGGAAATTTTCTCGACTTGAATTGATCGCCATATAATTAATGTTAAACAATGTAAACAAGCAATCGCATCGAATTATATTTTAACATAATAATTTGTCATGCTGCGTTATTTTATCTTTGCGTCTATCCGTAATTAGATATTTTGGCTAACTTTTCGCCGAACTATGACGGAAAATAAAGTCATCGAATCCTGAAGCTGTGGTCGTGGCATCGAGTTATGTTCCCGTGCAACGTCATGTTTTACAATATCAGAAGGCGTCTTATGAAGGTGCCCGTTGGAGACTAAACAAGGTCGTTGAAAGTACGATGACATGCAATAGTGTACTTATATATAATGTGGGTGTTTATTATGTACCCGAAATATCATGATTGAAACAATTCTGTTTTTCGTTCGTAAAATAAAATTTGCTATATTGTCAAACAGTAGGCTAATATAATATTTTTACTCTTGAGTGTGATCTTTGAATTAGTGTTTTCTAAAATTTTCTTGCATAGACAAAGGTCTTTCAATATGACCATGCCTGCATTAAACCAATGCCTGCCACGAGGCATCTTCATAAGGTTTTATTGATAAACCTAAGCTAATTGAGTTGAATAATTTTTCTAGACGTTGTATACTTTGTGCAATCTTTTTTATGATTTGCAATAAAGGGCATATCGTTATATCATCTTGGATTGGTATTTGGTTTCGACGGAGTTGAGGTACTTACGGGGTTCTCAAACTTTTGGTCTTATAGAGCCTTTGAAAAGGTCGACTAATATCTGTGGACCCCGCAATGAATTTTACCCTTTGTAAGGAGCAAAACAATGATGTTTTCTTCCTCGAAATACAAGTGATTACGGTTCTTATATCTATGCTTACGCTATTAAATACCCATCTACAAAAACCGAACTTGTTACTGGAAATACAAATGTTCTTGCAATGAGACAGGAATAATGCAATGTTTCAGTAAACGCGCCGTGAGTTTTTTTCTGATAATTTGGCACCACAAGTACAAAAAGTTCGGAAACCACTGCCCCATGGAATTTGAACCTTTGTGTGGCACATTTTACTATAAAACAACCACCGAAGCATAGATGGAAAATTGAACTCATAGGGTAACTCAAACCGTCTTATGCCGACCCATGTTAAAATTTTTATTCACATGAAGAATATTACGGACAGAGTCATGCAACTGCCATTTTGCGATAGGAACTGCGATATCGGTAGTTGAAAGACCAAGTTAAAATCTTTAAAAACCCAGGAAAGTCATTTCACAGACCGAAACAGACACGCGCCGCCGCGGGTTTCTTTGTCACAATTTAGTTATCATCCAGTCGAGAGTGGACTTTTTACACCCGGAGTTGCCAATCATGGGTAAATAATCTTAGCGTTTTTTTAATAGCTCAATTACGATAGTCGCATGGGAACGATTTCAGAATACATGGCCAAAAAAAATCAAGGTTCTCTGAAGATCACATACCATAATACAAATATTCTGATCGTGTTAAATACCTTTTATTCATAATTTAAAACCATCAGTGCCTGACCTAACCAGACATAAATATAATTGAATAAAATCAGCGCAAGTTCAGCTGCTTTAGCCCTTGGCATGGAAGGTCGCAAGCACAGACTTGTTAAGATGTATATCATTAAATTGCACAGGTTTCCTTCCAATAGTAATCTACTTGGGCGGTGCATGAATATAAAGAAATTGTAGACCAATTTGAAGACTTTTCGAATAAAAATATGTTATTGACAACTTAGACTCATCAAATTTAAAATAAGAGACGGAACATTCCGGAATGGCAAAATTAACCCGTTTTTGACTTGCTTATGCTACTACAGTAATAGAACCATTCGCATCATCATATATTTGACATTCATATAACTATAAACAGATCTGGACTTATCAGAACACCTCTTACAGTTTTCACGAATTTAATTCGAGTTTTGAAAGTATATTGGCGAACTTCGATAGATTTAAAATATAATTTGCTCAAACAATACACATAAAACAAGTTGGATGAGGCATATCCCAAGCAGAAAACATATATTATCTAGATCAGGGCTGGGCAATTATTTTTGCTATCGGGCCACATTGAATATTCCAAATGCAGTGGCGGGCCGGACTAAGTAAAGCCAATTGTGCGTTTTTAATGCATTTCAGTACACATTTAAATAAAACAAAGTACTATTGTACTCCGTTATTTTTATTTAAAACACAGTTATTAAAACTAGTTTAAAACATAAATATCGCGATTTCGAGACAATACATATGATCGGAGAAACGTCACGCTTGCAAAACAATGCTGAATTTTATCATTAATGCTAAAGAGTGAGTAACTATGCGGGATTAAGACCATGCCTTCGATGGCCAAACATTCGTGATTCATATAACTCTGTTGTCACCATAGCATTTTTAACGTAAACAGGGGTCGTGGAAAATTGTAACGCATTGAAAGGCGTTGCGAGTTTAAAAGTATGGAATGCACTGCTCTAAAATACAACGTCTATCTGCGTATATAAAATGTGAAATAAAGTGCCGGAATATACTTAATTTTGATACCTATTTTTGCGATACGGGTATATTTAAAATGCATTGATATGGGCACATTTAAATGTCTTGCTTTGTTGTTTTAAACTTAACCCGCGATTGCTTTGGCAAAATATAATCATTACTACTCTTAAATACCACCCCATGCCGCGGATCTAAAAATGTGAGATAAAGTGCCAGATTACTTTTATTCGTGTTTTGCGATTTCGTGAAATCAACAAATGTGATTTGTTCTTGCAACAATGACTTGTCTCTATTTTACAGATTTCACCAATAGAAAAATCCCTACGTCTGCAATAAAACCACACCGAGTTAAATTCAATTTAGTACCATGAAAATCGGTTGAATTTACTTTACTTTGTGCCATGGGCACCAGAAATTTTTCAGTTTCCAATTTCTACAACAGCGTTTTTAATCTGTCGCAAGCCTTCTACATCAATCTTGTATGTGTCCAGTTTTTAGTATTTTATATTGCCGCTCTGAAATCTCGATTTAGGTTGCTTGCAGATGCACTTCTTTATCTTTAGCATTATTATATAATGATTCGTTTTTCTCAATGGTTTCACAGTTCCGTATGCAAGACATATATATATATATATATATGGAGGTTGAAGGAAATTTGTGAATATAATCACCGACGTAAAGGTGTTTATGGTCTCTAAATAACATCTCGAGCTGGCGAAAACAATCGGTCATTTAAAAAAAAAATTGTCGAATGGTATTGCCGACTTTTTCATTTTCCTAAACAAAATTTTGTTCACAGTTAAAGTATACTTTATATGAAATTAAAAAGAAAGTGTCCACATCTAGAAACCTGCTCGCGGGCCGGATGAAACGTTGCCGCGGGCCGGACGTGGCCCGCGGGCCGCAACTTGCCCAGGCCTGATCTAGATCTTTGATACACTTTCCATGCATCAGCAGCGTCATAGGAAGCAAATGCACAGAAGTGCATCTGATAAGACATAAACACCCTTCAGGTTGAATTGACAAGTAACTTCTATCTAAAATGCTACAGCTACATAATACCATAGGATTTATTTAGGTCTATAATATATACACAGGCTGTGTGGAACTGCTATACAATAGCTAAATAGAATAAGTATATTGGAAACATGGCTATCTAAATCGACGATTCAATTACCGGTAATAATAATAAAACAACAAATATAATATAACTTTGCACTTAATATACAACAATAAACGACTGTGGAGACACGACATTTTATTTATATGAATATAATGTAATTCAAGAAAAAAATGATAAATCACAACCTATATTTGTGCAAATATTTTAAAATTTAGCATGGAGTGAATAAACTATTGATCAGATAAATTTTCCCTGCAATTATTAGAGTTTTAGATTCTGGGCATTCTAAAGTTTGGATATTAGAGTATGAAGTAAAATACAAAGTATATACTCGAATTTGAAGCCATGATAACAATAAAATTCTTGAAACTTGACAAATAATGAATGACTTTTTTTACGTGAATGAACACCGTCGAACATTCAAAAGTTAAACGAACTGTGCGGTTAAATTGAAAGACTCTAAACCAATTCAGAATAGTTTTATACTTGGTTGAGTTAGTTCATGTAAGCTTGTAGCTCTACAGCATGTTCATTTTAATATTCAACTATTATTGAATTGGTTGGAAATATGCTGTTAAAATATAGTCAGTGTATACAAAACTGCCTATATACCTTGTTGGCCTCGGCTTGTATAGGGTGGGTGACATCGGACAAAGGCCCTAGCACAGAGGTGGGCAATGTTTTTTGGGAAATTTATAGTTTAGATGTTTTAAAAAAAGGTCAAATATAATTTGAAATTTGTATTTAGTTTTAAGAAATTTTCTCCGGTAGTAGGGGACTGCACTAAATGCGTTGAAAGGCCTTTTATTGCCCATGCCTGGTTTAGCACTTCAAAACAGCATTATGATATCACAGACTATATTATCATGAAGTGTTTCCCAATAAAATCTAACAGAACCGCATGAATAACTGACTTCATATCATTGCAATATGTTATAAAACTGTCGAGCAAAATTTCATAGACATCGACAATTTCTATTTCCTGGCGTATGCTTAAATGTGCTTTTGTAAACAATAATCGCATTGATAGAAAGTCTCTCTACTCTACGTTGCATGTTTACTTTTAGCAAATTCGTTATTTTGTTTTAGTTTTGGCGATGGTGTTTCATTTCGATGTTGGTCCGTTTCTGTAGAGGTTGATGGTTGTGTTATTGATGTCATGGGTGCCGTATTGGATAAATCTATTGAATGAATGCTGCCAGTTTCTGACAACTTTTCTCTCTCTTCTCTGACTTCTTCCAGCTGAACCTAAATTGTATCAAAATGCTGTTTTTTTGTTTTATAATTGCATGATATGTACAAGGAGTTGACATTTCCGACGAATGAAAATTTATCTTCAACATCAGAGCCCTGTTGAATAGGATCAGGACAGGATTTACAGTACATATTTATCCTGGGGGAAAGCCTCTCGGCCCGGTTAACAGTCAGTGTCGGGTATGGGATTACTTAGCTATTATTCTGTTTTCAGATGCATGGACTTAACAGTGGAGAAAGCAGTTACCTGGAACACTCTCAATGATGGAGAGTCCAGCAATTCTCTCGCACATAATTATCACCAACAGGATTCAAACTTGCGAACCAACACAGGGTAGTTGAATGTGTTGTGGCAAGCATATTTTGAATGTGAAGCGCCATATCGACAAGCTGTATAGTGCATGCCCAATACTGTATAATTAAGTATGAAGACAAGATAAGTACAGACCTGTAATGATTGTGACAATCTAACAAAATCCCTTTGTACATGTTCACTTGTTTCCAACGCAGATTGAAGAGATCGTAACCGATTTTTAGCTTCAGCTAAACTACGTTCAACATCTTCCTGTTATAGCGTAAAAATAGGCAAAAATGTAAAATTATCTGTAACACGTAAAAAGTAGGATTCCCATTTTTCCAAGATCATAAAACAAGGGGAAACATGAGATACTGAACATGAAAAATCTCGAGAACCCCAGCCATAGAATGATGGCAACGAAAGGGAACAACTAACTTTAGCATTGAGGAACATAGATTAGGGGTTTTCGACTGGGGTTCAGCAAATCCCTAGCGTCCAAGGGTTCCGCAACTTTCCATTCAAATTCGAGAGTCAATATTAATATATGTACGGTATGTTAAATACCTTTTAATTTGTCTTTATGATCAAACTTCCTACAATTCAAAGATCATTTATTTTCCAGTATTAGGTTTGCTTTTGTATCTTTTGTAGTTTATGCAACTCAGATAATACAACTTAATCAAACTATTGTACACAAGTTTCTTAAGCGTCTGGAATGTTACACTGGGTTACTACTCCACAACAAAGGTTAACAAGCAATGATAGATAATGGCTCACACAATCATTGGTGTTTTGTAGGTTTTTCAAACACCCATGGGCCATGACCATGCAATTAAACTGCTGAACAAAATAGACATTCCAATGCCTAGTATGAAAACAGTTGTTCAATAAATAAAGATGTATTACCGAAATAGGTACCGGTACTTCTAATAGACGAAAATTACAAACCCAGGGAAATAAGACTGGGATTATACACTAAAACAAAATTAAAAGAAATTAAAACAAACCTTAGCTTTGATTTCAGCAAGATGTTTTTCTCTGAAACCTTTGATAATTTCACTTGATTTGCTTTGTAAAGCGTCTCGAGATGTTTTCATCTTTTCAAGTTCTTGCTGCGAGATGAAAAAAATTTACATAAAGCATGGAAGGGATGAACAATCTTTTAAACAAAGCTGGATGTCAGACATTGTATGAGCTATTGACAGTCATCTCTAATATAGGTTTGGTTTCGACAAGCAGTTCCTTCACTCAACCTTTCTTCTCGCATTTACAAATTTAAAAAAAGATTTGTCCCCAATTTTTTGATATTTTCACTTCTAAAAAAACCTATGATAACGACTCGACGAGCGGATTGTGGAAAATCAATCTGCTTGGTTATCGATATCCATACACAAAAATTTGGATTAACCAAACCCACTCCAATAAATAATCATAAAACATGTCAAAGCAATGTAAAATTTTTGTTTTTCCAACATTATAATCGAAGCCCTAAAAGTTTTCGTTAACTAGCTAAACATCTTTAGTCCGAAATTCACTATGCTACGGGTTGTTTCATTTTTACCTGTATTTCACTCTTTTCTTTTTCTGATTTAGCGAGATCATCTTTAACTGATTTTAATGATTGAAGAGAAATTATTTCACCCCGCGCATCGTGAAGTTCTGAAGCTAAACTGGTTTCTAATTGATCTCTTGTGCTCTGTTGAAAATGATCAAATATGAAAACTGCTTAAAATAAGAAATTGAAGCACAAATATGCTTACAACTTTAAAGGGATTCGGAAAAATTTATCAGCCACCCTGGAAGTGAAAACATTTTCACAAACTATCGAATGCAGACATAAAACTTGAAATCTTCCATGATATCAGAGCATCCATATTCGCCAAAGGTTTTGTTTCAGTCATATTAGCCAGATACCACATGTTTTATTTTCATAATAGGTTGCACCCTGAGCTTATTTAATTCTATATTATTTCTCTAATATAAATAGTTACAGTTTCAAATACAAGTTTCCGGATAACATTCAAATTATTATCTTGCCAGAATTACCACAAATAAGACTGGTCTTAGATGTTAGAGGTTCATTATTCAAAATCACATCTCAAAAAACTGGAAAATAATGTTTTAGAATAGTCAAATTAAAATTAAATAGAATAATTATAACATTAATAAAATAAATAATTGAACAAGTGAGTGAGTTACCTGCTCGGCTTTCAGTCTTTCTTCTAAAAATGCCAGTTGGTTTTTGAACTTTGTCTCTAGAGCATCTTTTTCAGCTTTAGTAGTTGCTAATACTTTACGATACGTTTGCACCAAGCTTTGCAGTCCCTGTATTTTAAAAATATTTTATGTGCTGTTAGTAGTTTTGTTCATTATCACCAATTGGTTGTAATTTGGAAAAATGTATTTTTTGGTAACCCTACTTGACATCTCCACTCAGGGTAGAAATGTGAGAATTCTAAAATCTATTCATAAAACTGTTCAATCTTTAAACTATATGAAAAGAAAAATACAACATGGAAGACAACTGACACATAGCTGACTTAGGTCTCACATCAAACAGGCATTTTGATTACGATCAGTGTGACAGTATAACTTTCCAGCGAAAGCACTCTTTTCGCAGAATCCGCAATAGATTGAATTATTTGAACATGAAGCATGGTTCTTGGATGTAAATAGAATTGTCCTCACAGATAGTACGAATTGGCATGTCAACATGTTTTTTTCATAAAAATTATTTCTAATTTCAACAAATTCAATCAATATTTATGGCTAATTAATGTTATTAAATTTGACTTACATTGCGATATCTCTGCAGCAGGAAAACTCGATAAAATATAATACATTTCAAATTTTATTCAAAATTCTTATGAAACGTCATTAGAAATGCCCCTATGCAGCACCAAAAGATGACTATCCTAAACGAAAAAAGTTGCAATTCTTACATCAATACTTTTTGGAACGGATACATTTTCCTTCGTTAAAGTTTGTTGATATTTTTGTTGAAGTTGTGATAATTTATCTCGTTCTTTTCGCAATAAATTAACTTCATCTCGATATTTATCATGGGCTTGTCGAAGACTGACCTAAACAAAAACATTTAAACAAATATAGCAAGATACAACAATGCACACTACATTATACAAGATATAAAAACTGATATTTTCATGCAGCAACAAGGTTCTGTTAAAAACAAGCTTACACTCACTAAATTACTTCAACTTCAACTTCAAGTATACATAGTGGCAATAACGAAAAATTGCCCACTTGTGAAAGAAAGACAATGAATACTGTCTAAATCAAATAAAAATCTTAAAAAACTCACTGAATATTTAAATACATTTAAATATTGATGTTAAGAATAATTTGAAACATATTCATTTAAAAATTGTTTTTTCGGGCGGTAGACAAGGTGAGCAGCTACTGTAGTTTAGAACAGCGCTTTTGAACCAGGGTTCGGCGCCCCCCAGGGTCCCGCTATTACAGTCCAGAAGTTCCCATTCAAATCCAAGCTGAAAACCACTGGTTTAGAAGAAATGGGATCTTACCAGTTCAGCATTTCCTAACCAATTTAGTACTGCCTGGGTGAGGTACTGGACATGGAATTTGAACCAAGGATTTTAACTTATAATGACATGAAGGTTATGTAGAAACGCTTTGAGCACTCGGCCACCATTATAATTTTCATTTTTAGGCGAAACAACCTTTATCAAATTGCAACCATTGTACGAAAATGTTCAAATCTGCACTGTGAAACTTACCAATTCATTAATATCTTGTGCTTTAACTTTGATCTGTTTTTCTTTCAAATTTCCGAGAAGTCGTTCGAAATCTGCTAATTTATCATGAAGTTCTGTAATTTGCTTTTGCGCATCTTCAGCTGAACATCGAATGCTTTCTTCGAGTGATTTAGTTTTATTGAATTCCTCCATTTTTTCTTCTTCATATACTTTTATTTTCAATTTCAGACTTTCTATCTAAAATAGAAATAAAGCTTGAATTATTACCAGTAAATTTATTTGCAATATAGAACAAGGTTTCTTTGATGTGTAAATTTGTATAAGTCAATGCCGCCCACTAGGTCCCTTATTATTCCTGACTGTTGTGAATTATTATCAAGGCTATGGAGTCTGTGTTTGTCATGTTTTTTAAAGAAATCGAAGATGTAAGAGTTGTATTTTCAAACTCCTAGGAGTGAGAATCAGAATATGAGGCTTCTAATAGTGATTATCAGAGTTAATATTCTGGAGAGAAACTTAAAAAACCTATGTTGAGTAATGAGTATTCATTCTCAAGAAATGAAAAAGGCTTGCAAACGCCATTGTTTTTGTGATCAAGATTCGGTTTCTCAGTTTTCAGAGTCAAAATGTTCATTGATCTGGACTCCTGGAGTCAGGAGTAAGTGAAAGTTTTCTCAACCATTAATCGGAGGTCTTTTTTCAAATGACTCAGAGTTTGGAGTCATTACTGCTTAAAATCAAAGTTGAGTATTCTGGAAAAAGTAATTGATGAAAAAAACATCTATTTCAGTTCATACAAAAATGATTGAATTACCAATGAATACCGCAAGGTTGTCTTAACATCATGCCATGATACATAGCAATATCACAATTCTAAATCCAGTATTTTGCTTGAGGGATTCTCATGAAAGCCAAATTTGTAAAAATAGTAACATTTTTAATTTTTTTGTTATTGGAAGGTAAGCAATAGTCGTCCAAGAGATTCTTAGCAATTTCACTCATGGTTAGTCGTATTGGTTTCAAGGGAGAACTTGATTGAGTGACATTACTTGATATCACAAGAATTTAAATTGGTTACTGACCTCCGCAACCATTTTGGCATCGTCTTCGAATAAGTCCGCATGTTTTTTCTCAGGCGTTTCAGAAGCATTGGCAAATGATGAAGTCCTAGCTGCTTTATTTCTGTGAATTCTAAGCTGTAAAAACGAATGGATTAAGTAGTATATGGAGAATAAAAAGCCTGACAAACTCTCATACCTCCCGCAATAACTCATTCCACTCTTCTTCACTAACTACTTTTTGATCAGGACCTGGCACAATTTTATTTGCATCAATTTGTTCAGGTTCTATTATCACTGTTTTCTGTATTTTTGCGTCTGAATATAAAGAAAACAATTAGATATAACAATAATATTACTACTTGTGATTAAGAATAAGACAAAGCAGTAAGGCATAAAGTTAAAAGGATAACAATGTACAGATAACCAGCTTTTGCGGAAAATTTTCATATATAAGTTTCTTGACACAAAATTCTCTAAATGCGCACCAGAAAGTGGGAGGAGTACTGATTGAACAATCACAATCAACTCCTGATGTGCTAAAATATGTATAATTTCATTCTTTCGCGTTGACACAAGACATCGAAAAACTCATGCAAACACTGAAATAGAAGTATCCTGGTAGAACAGAAGCAGGACCCACTACTAATCTCTGAGGGAAAAAAGGGGACCAAGTTTAAATGGAGAAAGTTTAAAAATTCAGGCGATAACATAATTTTGATATTATTGATGGAGCAGCAATTTAAATTATCTGAATTTCACCTCAACAGCAATTAGAGATCTAAATCCAGGATGTAAAACTTTTAATAATGTAAAAAATGACATTCAAAAAATCTGTATTTCAAATATCTATTTAATTAATAGGCTACTTAAATGACAGTTCTAGGAATACTGACAACAAAATCTAACAATGATGTTTAAAAAAGCTGTATCTTAGATGAATGAAGTTTTAATAAAATTCGCGATTGTGCAATAAAGTGGAACCTCAATGAATTCAAATAAAAGTATATACCGGTAGTTGCAATTACCCAGATATTAGGTATGATAATTTCCAAAAGAAAAAAAAGATGCATCTCTTTAAATAAACTGAGTTTTGATTAAATTGTGATTTTGCTATAAAATAAAAACATAATAAAGATAAATACAAGAACATAGTAACTGAACACATAAATCTCATTCTTGAGTCGGTCTTTGTAACAAGAAAATCTTTGAAAACAATCTTAACCTAATGTACCTGGAAGTGTCAATGTAAATGTAGGACTTAGGTTGTTCTTCTCCACTTTTGTAGACTCTTGATAATCTTGAAATGACCCAAACGACTGAGAATCTGATTCGGAATCAGATATGCTAAAATAAAAATAAATGATGTAATGCACGAGGACAGGTTACTTTGCGCCTTATAGGATACAGAGTGCATCTATACATTTTTTTCAGTAAAATGCTGTTGTTTTTAAAGGGTCAAAAATTCAAATTTCTTTTTAACCACTGGATTTATCACTTTTAAATCAAGTTTCTCCTAGGAGGCTATTTATTTTATTTTCCAGGAGGTACTATTGAAAGTTTGGACTTGGTTGGCTGCGAAGTCTTGTATGTTTATTGCCAATATATCTCTCAGACAAAAATATTTTTCCAAGAACTTCAGTTATGTGGAATGTACTACCCTTATAGCTGTTTTCATGATCATAGACTTAAACTGTTTTATGTTTTGCATGAACCAGTACATGTGAATATATACTGCGCTGCCCTGATTTAGTATAGTTTCAGAAGCTCCTGGCTCTTCACTGATTGCCCACAACTTTGTTCAAGAGCTCAGTCTGCTTTACTTCTAAGTGATTGCTTGCGATATTGCTCTTAGCAAATTTTTTATTAAACTGGCATTTCAGGCACATTGTTCTATCATAATTTTACTAATCTTGACAAAAATTGGAATATCGTGCTGTTTTTACATTTATCTATTTTAAGCAAAAATATGCTAAACAATAGAACATTTACAATTATTGAAAAAATATGCGCAATGAAATCACAATTACTATCATATGCAAATGGCGAACACTCGAACAGTAAACAATATTAAATAATTATTTAAAGTGAACAGAGTAGAACTCTACCTTTCAACAACAGCCTCCTTAAACTTATCTGTTTTCTTTTTTAAAAGTGCAAGGGAAGAAGTTGGTGATTTTGCTGGTACGTCTCTTGCCTCACTTGCCTGGAATGCAATTAGATATGAATTATGGCTGGGAATTTTTGGCCTATTTTACTGAAATATCTAATGTTAGAAATTTTGTGCTAAGAAATTAGGTCACGAAAGAAAAAAGGTTGACCACCACTAGCCTAGCGAAATCTACTCTCACAATAAATGCTACATACCTGGGCTTTGAGTTTTAACATTTTTGCTTGTCGTTTTTGTTCTTCTGATAAAACACTTTCGATAATATTATTGTCACGCATAAGTAGTCTCTGTGATTCTAAGAATTGATCATTTGCAGCAAGCCACGTTTGTTTAAGAACTTCGTGTTCCGCCTTTTCAACCTCATACTGCTTGCATACTAAAAATGGTAAGAAAAAATAATTGAAAAAATGAGCCTAAGACATTATTGATACAATGACAATGATTGCTGGCAGATATGTCCAAAATCCAGTATTATACTATTCCTGAGATATTCTTATTTTTGAATATGAAATATATTCATGTAGTGTTATGTTCTCTTCACCTAGAATAGATTAGATTGGTCGTTACTTAAACTTTGATGATTTGTTTCCAAAAAGCTCCAACACCTGTCCATTTTTGTCTTCGACAAAAATACCTAATTTTGTTTTTGACGCATTATTAACATCAATTATTTCACGCTTCACGTTGAAAAATAAATAAAATAAAGTCAAAGAATTTACTCTGGCTCCTATGAATTTTGGGCGTCGTGGGCCAAGTTTGAGAAAGAAATTCTTTTAGTTTTCTATTTCTTTTACATATGTCAGATATTAAATGAATTCTATTCTATGCCTGATCATAAAGATGTCAAACATTTATAAGGATAACTTTGCAGAAGAACATATTCAGAATATCGGTATACTATATCGAGTATCATCAAATTTAAATTAATTTTAAACATCATCGATTGTTAGTACAAACAATTGTTTCATTTTGTCAACTTTGTGCTTCATTTGTGAGTTCATTCAAGAAAAAAAATATAGAAAATCTTGCTGATAGTGAAAGTACATACCAAGCTGATTTTAAGTAAATTCTTATAAGTAAAATAAATTGAAGTATTCAAAATATGCCCAGTTAAAGGGATATAATACTGCATAATATAATACTGTTTCTGATAAAGTATAAATTATAATTGATATAAGCGGAGAATACATAATTTTTAGTACATTTCAATGTCTAACACTAAAAATATGTTTGATTCATCCCATAAAATGATACACAAACATAAGCTTTTTGGTGTAAAATATACTAGTATAAAAATGAATGTAAGTTGAGGTGAATTTGATTATAAGGATATAATATGAAAGAATCATAAATTATCATTTTATTTAAATATGGAGTTAGGTCATGTGGCAACTAACCATTTTTCATTTTTTCTTGTATCGTATCTTTTTCATTTTCCATTTCCTTATTTTGTTGTTTTAAAACTGTAACATATCTTTCTAAATCAGTCCTCGAAGATTTCTCACTCTTCAAAGACAGATCGAGTTCTAACATCTTGAAAATATAAACAGAAAAATATTAATACTAAAACAAAGTAACGTAACAATCAAATTTCGAAAAGTACAATATTATACGAATCACAAAGCGCACAAATATTTTTTCCTGTCCAAAATAAATCTGTGCACCTAATTTATGATTGAGGTAGTGCTTTATCACCAAAGACACTCAAAGCCTGTATTGCTTTAAAAGGCGTAACGTCTTATATTCCAGTACACCAAATGTAATATGTGTGAATAAAAACCCAATCTACAGTAAGCAATTTATTGTCAATGTGCCCTATGGTCTGTAAACCACAGTATTCAATCCCATCATTTTAACGGGAAATTCACACATCCTGCTATTTATACTAATCCTCACCTACAATACTAATAACAAATTACCGGTAATCACATCATGAATAACATATTTATTAAGACACTCATGAGAAATTATTAATGAGAAGAATTGTGTGGGGATCTGCTCAAAAATGTACATCCAGATCCAGCCAAAGTTATCATGTATAGCCAGCTAGCAGATATCCAGTGGTGCATAATTTATTGAATTGAGTGGTAAGAATTTATTTAGATTTTGACCACTTCACTGATTTCAAACAGAATAATTTTTCAAAAAATTAGGATTGAGTTATTGTAATTTCACTTGTAAGGGTCTAATAATATAATCCTTTTAAGATTGAGAGAATCATAACATCCCTATCACCGGTATAGCATTTAATAATCCTAATCAATTAATATGTCATTATAAACTAGCATTAGGTGCATGCAATGCAACCTATTACCAGTAATATCAATCAGGATAATACTGATTTGAATACATCAAATTATGAGGATTAAAATTTTTCAATAGGCAAATTGACCAGGTTTCTCTACCGCCAATCTATCATTTACCACTAGACCAATGGTCGGCAAACAATATGTATCCTACTACTGGGCCAAATATGCAAATTTCGGCAGCGTGAGGGTCGCAAACGAGTTTAAAATTATGCAAACCCGCAACTCCTATTTCTGTGATAACTAGGATAGGATTTACATATTTATCCAGGGGGAGATGAAAGTCAATAAGACGGCTTACCCTATGGCGAACCACGGCCTCTCGTCCGGTCGGGTGTGGAATTAGTTATTTGCTTTCAGAAGCATGGACTTGATGGTGGAGGAAGCCATAAATGTCCAGCGGTTACGTGAACCACCCTGCGGCGGCGAGGAGTCCAGCAATCCTCTCGCACATGACCATCCCCACGGGCCACATGGGATTCGAACCCACGCAGAGTTATCAGAGGTGCGGCAACGAGCGTATTCCTAACGCTTAGCACGATGAGCCACATCGCCGCAACTACTGGTAGGCACTGAGGCGCAAGTAAACGATATACAACTAATATGTACTTCCTATAAAAATAGGATTAACATATTTATCCAGGGGAGAGAGAAAAGTCGATAAGATGACTTAATCATATGGCAAACCAAAGCTTCTCGTCAGATTACCAGTCCATGTCGTGTATAATATTAATTAGCTGGTTATCATGCTTTCAGATACATGGACTTGATCTAGGTTCTATTCAAAAGCAGGTTATATCTACACAATTAATAAACAAAATACCTAGTTTTTAATTAAATATATTTCATCTCAATCATCTGTTCTATAAGTCAAAATAATTAGTTTTCTAAAACAATTTTCAGGAAGGTACAACATGGAAATTCGACTCAACAGTGATGTCAGAGACAAATACATTATTGACATTAATTAAAACTCCTGAGAAAGAGAAAATGGTTTCCCAAATGCAGCTTAATAACAATCTATCGATGGGTCCCAATCCCAATCATAATCAGATGGCAATTTCAAAACAGTTGAATCATATAACCATATGGACATTTAAAATTGAACACAATAAGCTAAATATAATCACAAATCATTGATTACGGTAGTTAATAAAATCCATCAAACAGAAAAAGAAAGGAAAGAAATAACCAGCTTGTGAATTTTTTCATCAAAAATTATTGAAAACTAAATTTTACTTCAATAAAGTAAATAGGCTATCCATCCATAACTAAAAAACATGCATAATAAAGCATGCCACTTTTAATGGCAGGCATTATATTCAACTACTACTAAATATTTGTGAATATTTTTCAGAGTACATTTTTTTAAAATTAGGGTTAGTAATATCAAGTCAGCTTATATTTCATTTTTATAAGAAAAAACCTTCCAAGCAGTGGTGAACAAAAATATGAAGCACCATTATATACAAGGTCCTATTTTGAGGCGAAGAAAAATCAATTCATATGAACATATAGATGTAATTATTCAATATATCATTATGCTTTTGTTCAATAATAGTAAATGCTAATCTTGTCATTATAGTACTCACAGGTTCTTGGGCATCTGTTGCACTTTCGGTTTCTATGGTGTTGTCATCCTGTAAATAAATTCTAAACTAAATTCACTGCATGCAAAAACAACCTCTACATTCAAATCAAATCCATTATTATTAATAAGTATCAATTGCTAATTACTTTCATTTAAAAAATATTAGTATTCCATGTAAAGTAAAATCAAAACGAAAGGAAAGCTGCGTAGTGACAAGGATTTTTTGTAAATGACATCCATTCCAATACAAGACGCTAATAATCAAATATTCTACTACTCTACTGAATACACCTAAAATAATAATTTTGAGAATGAAATAGCAAATATATTTTAGGTTGTGAAAAGTTCGTTTCCAAGTAACAAAATCAAAATTAATAGATATTAAATGAGTTTAAAATTTGAAATGAACAATTGTTCAGAACAACAGTTTTACAAATAAAACTATTCTAAATTATTCCTCATACCATAAATTCTCATAAATTTTGGTACTCCCGTAGTATATGAACCAAGATGGCGGACACCGGAACGTAGTATGTGTATCAGGTTAGTGTTAGGCCATAATTTTATTCCAATTTTCCTTATTTTAGTTCTTTTACGAGTTCGGAACATAACAGGTTCTTTCATTTGAAATAAAACAGGCTAGCATTTTCAGATGTTTCAGTTTGACGAAAGAGAATATTAATAACAATTACCGGTACATTGTGACTAAAAAATTGAAACTTTCAAATCTTAATTTACACGTACACCCACCAATGTATACAAATAACACAGTCACCACTCTAGACAATTCAAACCATTAAAATCCTAACATATCACCACTACATATAATAAATCTACAAAACTTTAACGAAAACACCCTCTAAAAACCAGTCAGAATAACAGAATAACTGAAAAAAAAAAATACAAAATAAACTAATTGACGAACCTTTAAAGATTTTGCATTCAATTCTGCAACAAGATTCTGGCTTTCTTTGAGCTCAGATTTTGTTTTTCCTAAATCTTCTTGTAATTTTCTAATTTCTTGTTCCAATGGCAATACAACTGATTTCAATTTTTCAGCCTCAGCATGTGCCTACAGAGACCAGTTAAAATGAACATAAAATGCCTTTATTTCACAAAAGGACTTTTCATCAGCAACAGAAAAAATAAAAAATTTCATGATATCTCAAGATATAGTAACCTCATGCTTAATAAATCATATTAAATCATATTCAATCATATTCAAATATTCAATGATAATCAAAAAATCCATGTTCTATACATGCAGTATATGATGCTCAATTGATAAAAAAGAATTAAAAATGTAGTTTTTATGTGTTTTATCGGATACCTATTGTCATGAATCAAAGCAAGTCTCGATATAGTGTATTTAGATTCACACTATCAAAAAATTACATCTGGCTATCTAAAAATCTGATTCAATGTGGCGCAACATCCTATTTTACTCATAAAAACAAAGCTAGCTGTCTGCAGAGCACATGACTATTCACCTCTACTCATAAACATTAGTTACATAAACTGCATGTCAGCAGATTTTTTTAATCATATTATATAAGAATTTACATATATCATAGAGATAGAAATAATAAATCCATACAACCAGTGCAAAATATTGCTCATCTAATAGTTTTGTGTGTGTAACAATAGGGTGTAATAAATTGGGCAGTGACTGATTGTGTAGGTAGAGCCTTGTTTGGGGTGAAAGGCATATAAATTTGCCATATGAAAAGTATATATAATTTCTTTCTGTGAACAGCAAGTATCCTTAGCTTTTGTTGGATCATCATAGTTTACCTTCTTCAGAAAAATAATATAGCAAAAGTGCTTTCTATTTCAAGCGATACACTCGGATACTATCTCGTTCTTGCGGCAACTACTACATACAGATCAGAGTAGAAAATGAATATGATGGATAGGCTTGCATTGCAATGCACAATAACCTTGTACCCCTTGCAAAGGTTTAACAATTGAAACAAAAGTTTTAATAAAAATCAATATTTCGGAAGAAAATCAGAAGACCTCGAGAAACCAAATTTCACCTTCTTCATGCTTGCTTCTAACTCCTCCTCTTCTGACATATCTCCATGATCTCTCAATTTTTTCCTTAATTCTTCCAATTCCGATTCTAGATGCTCCCTTTCTGCTTTCATTGTTGAATGCTTTTTCTCCCAATGTCCTCGCTCTCTGTCAAAATGTCTGACCATGTCTCGTTGTGATTCCTCATTGGAATCTATAAAAATTATTACCATATGTATTAAATAGTGTGAAATCAAATAATATGCAAGGTAAGTGGGTTCATTGAGAGTTACCATACTTGTTATTGTTAACTCGCATAATATTACCATTCTCTTATACCTACTAAACCTGACAAATCAGAAAGAAAAAATTTACTTCAGTAATATTAAATCATAACTTTTTTGTGAACATAAATAATAACGATGCAGCGGAATATATGATATAGCCCATAACTACCAGGCTTGTTGGAAGGTGCATTATGCTAGTCCTATCCACTTCATGAGGAAGAAAAAGAAATATTCACAATAAAAAATTCCCATAAGCCGACATATATGATTACACATGTTTATATGGCCTAATAGGCAGAGAATGACTACTTCATAAATATTATGTAAGTATGAGTCTTTGAGATTATTTACAAGGAATGAACAGAAAATAAGACAAATTGAGGCAATCCAAATTGGCGTACAGAAGTATTTAAGTACTGCGCCAATGAACTACACCCACACTGATGCGAACCATGGCATCTAGTTCGGTTACAAGTCCAGGTCGGGTATGGGATTAGTTAGCCACTAATTTGTTTTCGGAAGCATGGACTTGATGGCGAAGGACCAGCAGTTACGTGAACCACCCTACGGTGGCGAGGAACCTCTGTCACGCTAGCGAAATCCTGCTGCTAAAAAATACAATGTCATAAAAAGTGTTTCATTATAAAATTTATGAATAAAAAATAATTTAATTGCACTAAGCAAATGAGGTCTAAAATTTCATTAGGGTTAGAGTTAGGGTTAGGGTTCCCGTGGCTATTGATTAGAAATACTTTGCAAAGTGGGAACACACTTTTATGACATCGTATATTTTTATGTAGGATTTCGCGAGCATTTCGCTGACGTGACAGTGGCGACGAGGAGTCCAGCAATCCTCTCGCACATGATCATCCTCGCATGGAATTCGAAACTGCGAACCCACGAAGGGTAATCAGAGATGCGATGGCAAGCGTATTCTTAATGCTTAGCACGATGCGCCAGGCAACAGAAAATACCATAACTAAAAATGAAAAGAATACAGATTGAAGAGTCATAACCAATTAATCTAATAGATTCTCAATTATTACTAATACACACAGGACTTGGGAGGGCCATTCAAGTTCTCACTTCCATGAAAACAGATAGATATAAATATAAAAATTGGTTTCAACACCAATGTAATTCTTTACATACCTTCCATTGCTTTGCGCAGTGATTCAATTTCATCCTGGTGTCTTTTACTCAATCTTTCAACTGCTTCTTGTTTTGTATTTTCTGAGACTGACGCAATCATTTTTATATCTTCAATTTCCATTTTTAACTCTGATATTTTATCGTCATTTTGTTTTAGTTTCATACGTAATGCATCTATTTCAAGATTCTGCTCCGCAACCAATTCTGTAAACAAATTTTGATGCCATTAGGCAAGGATGATGGACATACTGGCATAAATAAATTCAAAACTGATTGTATTTAAAAAACAGAAATAGTAGCTTCATTATTTCAGAAATATTAGCCCACCATTCTGCCATTTGAAATCCGTAATCTTTCAGACATTTGATACAGTGATAAGAAAATAAAAAGAGTTTTATTTCCTATACTTCATTTAAGAGAAAGAATATAAATCAAAACAATGTTTTGAGACATGACTCACTTTCTTTGGTTTGATAAACTTCCTTGAATTTTGATCTCTTTTCTTCAAAATTTGATTGCATTTTCAGTTTTTCCTGCTCAAGGAAGGAGCAACGGTTTTTTAAATCCTCTACGTCTTGAAGTAAGGAATCCATGATCTATTCTATTAAATTCTGAGTTGGTTGGTCAACAATTTGTGAATTTATTCATAGTAATCTGCAGAACTGTTGCATTTAAAGTACAGAAGTATGGATGTTAATGATTGAACGCTGGGATGTGAGAATAGTCTAGGCTACTTCTGTACCGGTGCGGTAGCGGTATTGTATCACTCGTACACTGCATTCAGAAATATCGGTTCACAAAACTAGGCCTGTAGGCTCGGCAGAGATAACCCGACTTTGGAACCGGTATTAAAACATGGTCGCTAATGCTATATAATGGGCACGTTTGAAATTGGTACAGGGTGACCTCCCCCCCCCCCCCAAAAAAAACGCATAAATTTGGTAACTGCGACAAAAAAAGATGAAAATACAGTATAGGCCTATTGATTATGTTCACTCTACAGCTCTACCTTCCTATATTTACAGCTTGTAACGTCCTTGGAGTGCCTCCTAGCGTCATCGTGCGGGACGTCATACTATTTTGCACCCGCCACCAGCGCTGGCACATTTATCCAAGTGCAGTTTTAAGTATTCTGTGGCGTCTGCAGCTGCCGCAAAATCATGGCGGTATTTCCATACCATGGCCGATACGGCCAAACCTATGTAGTGGTGTGTGGATTCAGTAAAAATAGAATCCGAATCCGTCCGAAAAAAATTCTCTCATTTCAGAATCCGTACGAATCCGAAATCCTTAAAAAATAAATCCGAAAAAATCCTATACCTATGGCGACCATTTGAGTAATGGCGACTGACTTTTTAGCTGCCACAAACCAATGTCGAGCTGCCGTTACCGTGGCAGCAAATTAAAAATCAATTGCGGGTAAAATTTTGCTGTCGTAACAACGGCAGGTGGGCCGTAAAGATAGATCTGTCCCGGTGCTCCCGAAGTATGCGAACCAAGATGGCGGACATCGGAACGTAACATGGGTAACAGGTTGGGGTTAGGCGATAATTTTTTTCCAATTTTCCTTATTTTAGTCCTACTATCAGTTCGAAGACTATCCAAGAGCCTCCCGTAGTATTTATACCTGCAATGATGGCCTAACCCTAACCTAGTACACATATTACATTCCGATGTCAGCCATCTTGGTTCGCATACTTCGGGAGCCCCTCTGTCCCCTATGGTGACAAATATTGGGTAAGTTGGAACGTTTTTCTTATGGCAGTGGCGGCGCGTCAATAGAGCCAACCGGGGCAATGCCCCGGTTGTTTTTTCGGTATAATAAAAAATATTCGAAAAATACCTCAATATCGGTTGCACAGACTGTCTACACTAGCCATATTCTCCCGACATGGTTCATTTTTCGCCCGCAAAGCCTTCGCCGAACTTCGACGGGGCGCTAAAAATTAGAACAAAAATTAGAGGTACAATGTCGTGGGCCTTATCAACCAAAAAATTGTTCACTGGAACAATCCCATGACGGAGGAAAGCGTCGGCGTACATTCTGCGCAGAAACTTGGTATAAAAAACACGAATGGTTGTGTTACAGCGAGGACAAAAATGCACTTTTTTGTTTTTATTGCCTACTTTTTGCTACCGCCCGTGACTCACGTTGGTGTAAATTTGGTTTTAGAGATCTTAAACATCTTTCCGAGCGTGCCAGGGATCATCAATCTTCTATGGAGCATCTGGACAATGCAGTAAAATACCGAACATTCGGAAATGTTCATATTGCAGCACAGTTGGATGAAGGACGCGCGGTTTCTATTCGTCGGCACAACCAAAACGTCGAGAAAAACCGCCATGTTCTCGGTCGATTGATAGATGTTTTGAAGTTCATTGGTTGACACGAGCTGTCCCTCCGTGGGCACGATGAACGGGCTGGCTCTTCTAATAGATGGGTATTTTTGGATATGGTGGAATACACCGCATCCCTAGATACCGTATTGAGAGATCATCTTGATGCCGCAACTGTTTCGAAAGGGACATCTAAGGATATCCAAAATGATTTGCTCGACTCAATGTATAAAATTTATTTACAACATTTGGCTCTGTAAATTGAGAATTGCCAGTTCCATTCGATTCAGTCTGACGAGACAACTGACATCACGTGCGTTTCCCAACTGGCTGTGATTTTCCGGTTTGTGAAAGATGGTAAACCTACCGAGAGATTTCACAGCTTTGTACCAATCGTTGATCGCACGGCTTTCGGGATATCGGCTGTACTGAAAGAAGTTACAGCCTTACAACGCGAAGTCAAAATTGATAGCTCAAACCTATGACGGCGCGGCAGTCATGAGTGGGTCGAAACATGGTGTTCAAGTTTATATAAAAGAAGATTTTCCTCATGCGCATTTTTTACATTGTTATGCACACCAATTTAACCTCGTTATTAAAAATATGTGTCTTGATACCCCTCTCGTCCGTATATTTTTTGCAAATGTTTCGGGATTTTCTTCATTTTTTTCCGTTTCGCCGAAGCGCTCTGACCTCCTTCGCCAGATATGTAGCCGCCGTCTCCCAGCTTGTGCACCAACACGTTGGAACTTCCAATCACGCATGGTGCAGGGCGTGTCCAAAATTAGGTCTGAGCTCATTGAGTGTTTCAATGGCATTTAGAGCTCTCCGGTTTGGGACGAACGCTCTGTGAGGGAGGCGGCAGGTCTAAAGCGTCTGCTAGAAGATGGTGAGTTTTCATTTTTTCTCGCTTTTTTCTCCACAATATTCTATCACGTGGATGTATTATACGGCTCATTGCAGTCAAGGCTAATGGATGGAGCGTCTGTGCAGTCGTGTATTTCAGACTTCTGCGATGCTGTATCTCGTATCCGGGAAACAATAAAATACGACGACACATGCAGTGCTTTTTTACGCCGCGGGCAAACAACGCAGCGTTTGATTTTGTCTACAAAGGAATGCTGTGACATTCTGGTGAATCAAATAGGCGATCGTCTGCGCACTGAACACCTTGCCGCGTTTTCTTTGATGAACCCCAAAATTTTTTCAAAATTTGCAGGTCAATTTCCCATCCATTTGTTGGCTACTGTCTCCAAATTTTACCCCACGATAAACGTGGGTAAATTGGAAAATGAATTGCGATGTATATACACCAATCGAACTTTTTTGAACATCACATCAACTTGCGCTCTCTATGGGTTCCTCATAGATAACACTCTAGTAACTACCTTTGCGGCGTCTGCAAAATTTCTGGACATCATTTTGACGACGCCTATTTCTTTCGCCGACGCAGATCGAGCGAACATTCAGCACGCTGAAGCGTATTAAAACGTATCTCAGAAACACAATGAAGCAAGATAGATTAAATTCCTTGGCTGTTTTATCCATTCACAGAGACGGTATTTCTGGGATGCATGACTTTAATCAGCGCGTTATTGAGCATTTTGCTTCCAAGAAACCGCGGAGTGTTGCATATATGTTCAAGCAGTAGAAGTCTAGCAGCATATATATCCATGAGTGAGCGACGCATGTCCTTATCTTTGCATAACTTTCCTTTCTTCATAGTAACGTTTTAAACCTTATTTTAGGTTTTGTCTGCTTTCCCGAAGTTTCTGTTAATATGTCATTGTATTTATCTGGGTAAATATTGCCTTTCCTTTTGAAAGAGGTTTCAAAATAAACTATGTCTATATTTATTAATCCCTTGACTTGGACCGGTTATAAAGACACTTTCTTATACAGTTTTGATAGATTTGGGGTTAGGGTTAGGGTCTAAGTAGATATAATTCCACATGATCAATTAAAATCTGGTACATTCATTTGGGAATATACCGTTAATAATGATTACTGAATACTGAATAGCGTTATAAAACCATGGCAATAGCTGCCGCGGTTCGTTCGTGGCAGGAACTGCCATGGGGTGGTAAGAACTGCGCCTCCATTTGTCTGAATGAAATTTAGTATAGTGAGAGATTTGATTTCCAGAATCAACGAAAAACAATATAAAACAATGTCGATAATTCTCATCGAAACATTGTTTTGTGTTGGACAGTATGCAAGTCCGTTGAAGGTCATCGATGCTCCAGATCACCACTGTTATTAAAAATAGTCGGAATTGATTGCTACAATATAAATATTAAAAATAAAGTAAATGAGTCAACATATATTTTAGTTCCATGATTCGACACTAGAAGACAGGTGTTTCTTTTCTAGATTGACCTCAAAATACAACTAAAAATATATAGATTGGAAAATAAAACTTCCAAAAAATATATCTAAATAGGATAAACAAAAAAAGAGTACAAATGGGTATTATATTACATCATAGTAGATTTCGAAGATCATTTGAAGTTGATGTTGTTGCTCCAGTTGCTCCAGAGGGATTTTTATATGTTTCTGTTGTAGCCTACATATTTTGCTAAAACCGAAACAGATTTCTTATATGAGGTTATACGCAGTGGTGGGATTCAGTCGTTTCGCACCGGTTCTATAGAACCGCGGAATTTTATGAGATCAGCGAACCGGTTAGCATTACTGGTTACTGTCAATGTTCTGTTTGTAACAGAACCGGTTGAAAAATATGACTTTTTTGGAGGAACCGGCTGACAAAAAATTTGAATTCCACCACTGGCTTATAGTTAAATATTGTTGTGCCCTATAGGTAATAGTTCGATCCCCGTGTTTTTGTACACATGCATGTTATGGGATGTAAGTAACCTCAATCTGGACTCCTTCAGATGCTCATAAGCACACAATAGGTTGAATGCTCATGTTCGTTTTATTGAAAGATGCCCAATCCAATCCGAATACAGATAAATTATAAATGCATTTCGCTCTCGCCAGTTTTGTGATAAAAATACCTTGGATTTCATATCAGGCTTACGATTGAATTTTTATCTTCTGACGTCTAATTCTAATTACTATTCGTTTAACATCGTCTTTGTTTGTTCATTATACGGTGAGCGGAGTTAGACATTTAGTAGTAGTAGGCCTATATATTTACGGTTCAATTAACACATCGCTTTTTTTTTATTCCCGATTGGTTAATATTCAGAACGTTGAACAAAATAATGTCTAGATTTCATAGCTAACATCTGGAATCCAAATGTTACATCTAGATCTTGGATAAAACATCTATTTATAGCTATAAATCATTTAAAGTGGCAGTCCTGACCGCCACAGATTCAGATGTAATGATGGCAAATCCTTTTACTTCTTTTTATAGGGGATGTTTACTAAAAAATTTAGTATTACTGCATCCCCCCCCCCCCCCCCCCAGTCAATTTTCGATTATCTGCATGGTTTTATATGGTAAATTATTGGCGCTCCCGTAGTACTAAGATGGCGCACAACCTGATAAACATATTTTGGTTCAGAGTAGACATACGCGGGAACCAAAGTTGGTTATCAAGCAGCGACACACGAGGTTCTAATATCGAATTTCAAAAAGTTAACTGCTAATATTGAAGGTGACGGTGATTAAGTGCCACGGAAGAAGTGAATGTCCAACAAAGTGAACCATAAAATTCATTAGCGACTCAGGATTCCATTTTCGTCGCCAACAAGGAAATATTGAGCATCTATGCACGTTTACAAATTCAAACGATATCATGAATACCAAAGATAGAACGAATAATAAATCATAACAATTGTTTCGTGAGGTGGCAAAGGGTAAATTTGTTTGTCGTTAAGCTATTTCAGATGCGTTAATCACAAAAAAGTTACTTAACAAAAACGAGTTACATGCCTTTTATCCATTATTGTTTTTAAATTTTCCCTTCTGAAGTACAGCCACGGATTTATTTCGAAGCATGATAAAAAGAACTTTAATCAATGTTATGTATATATGGTCAGTTAGTTTTCTGGTTTACTTAAATAAATTACGCTGATTGCAGTTGGGATAAAAATTTATGAATTAACATAGTCGGTCGTCTACTTCGAAACTTCGTACTACTATCAAAATTAACCACAATTCATCTACGGAATTTTTAAATATGTTCAACAAATTCACCTCAAATCGAGGATTAGCAATCGGATCATTTTGTAATCAAGGTTGGGGAGAGTTCGGGCTGGGTACAGGGCTAAAGACAAATTCAGCTCAACGTTAAGTGGTAAAGTGGTAGGGTCATTGTTTCTACGAAATCTCCTATGATATGTGCATTGATCTAATACAATGCACGGTAATAATTACTGTTAACGGTAAGTTTTATAATATTACCCTATTAGTCTATACCTGAAGCGCAGCAGAATCATTTGGTGAAGTATTCTAGATTTAACCGATTAGTGAATAATTTAGACATAGACTTAAAACATAACATAAAACCCTATAAAACAAATGAACAAATTAATGAGATTTTTTAGACATTCTAATAACATTGCATTCTGAGCACAAATCATTTCCCATGTTTCCCCACTACATCGGCCGATATTACAATCATCGTTAAATCATAAATAAATAAATTTTATCAGGTAGTCTTTATGATTTCGTTCACTCTTGGGGAAATGAAAAGTTTGACGAAAGGGTAGATTGTCAACTAATTATAGATATTATATGACGTAATTATCACATATGCAGGCTCTGTGCATATTTGTCTGAAACTCCAATAGCCATGGCTGACATAAAAAACTTCATACGTTTTGATCATATTTTATCCAAAATATTATCTTCGCGAAAACCAGTGAATGAGTAAAAACGTGCATTACTAATAATCGAAATCTACTCAAATTTGAAAATAATTGTTCTATAATAGAGTAAAGCGATTTACTGAGAATAATATTACATATGTTTAGCTGATGATACGTCTCGGACAAAATGATCTACTTGTGCTTCATGGAACAACTAAGTACTGGAAAATGAAAATTAGGGTAGTTTATCCAAAATATCGCCGCTTGGGATTGAGATAAATTAATTTGGAGGAAAGCTCGGATAACTTTTTTGGAAATAGCATATATAAAATGAGTGCAAAATTTGATCGAATTAAGTGTGATGTGTAGATCCGGGCAACTAAACTGGTGGAACGCGGTCCGTATCCGGACCTTTCGAGTATTTGATTCGGACCGCACCTAATTCTTAATTCTGGATCATTAGCCCAACTTTTGAAGTTTTCTTTTATAAAATGACTTTTATAGTTTTGAATAAAATGAAAGGAACTATAGCACCATAATAAACAATCTTGATTAGCTAACAATCATTAGTCGGCCAAGGAAGTCTGTGTTTAAGGATGTCGAGAAAAAATTTCTGGAAAGAGCGGATTCAAATATTTTTGAAGTTTTGTATGCGGATCTTCGATGAAAATAGTTGTGTCGCCCTGATGTTGATAATGTATATTATTAAATTTTAACAGTCATATTTAGCTAGAGTCTTATGATAATATTATTCCCTTCCATTTCGGCAAGTAGTAAATTGGCTAGACCAACTGTTGTCTAATCGTTATCGATCTTGATCGGTAAGTATATTGATAGGCATTTGTCTGCTTGTTTGTTTGTTTGTCTGTTAGATACACGCGATATCTCACGAAATCTTGGATGAATTATGTCGTATAATTAGGGGGTTATTAATTAATTAGTGATGAAGAGTGTTGATCTAGATTTTTTCCAAGCGAGAGAACGTGTATGACCTAGATTTTTGAGGCGAGAGCGCGCATGTGCTGATTTTGTGTGCGATGCGCAAGTTTCCATCGAGAAAGTTTCTACGCTATTGAGTCAGAGCGAAGGATACACACCACTAGATCGATAAGTCGGCGGTCTCTGATCGCTATCTCGTTTCTTCATTAATGGATATTTCCACTTGTTATCTACATAGCGATTCTCTCAGAAGTTTAAATTTAAAATTTATTTTTGTCTTTTCGTGCCACCGTCGAAGGGTCTGCTTAGAATTATTTTATAATAAATACATTTTTATTTTACGTGTTCCCATAATAACTTTGCTTCTGCTAAAGATTACACCTCTGCCAATTTCTTGAAGTGTTTTGACACGACTGTGTTTACGAAGACAATATGCAAATGTTAGACCAATGAAAAAAACATTAAATGAGTCAACTGACTCAGTTGCACTTAAGTCGGCACATGATTCACGAAAAACCAAAAAATTATTTAAACAAACAAGTTACAATTCATTGCAGCCTTGAGGGCATTTTGCAGTTTCATTAACGTTGTTCATCATCAGCATTGTCAAAAAATGTATAATTTCATAATGTCTCGGTTATCAACAAGCGAATGATTGATTTGCCTATAAATTTATCCAACTTTACAAAAACACATATTTCGTAGACCGAGGATATTTCATGGTTTTTCTGAAAAAAAATTGGTGCTCCCGAAGTATGCGAACCAAGATGGCGGACATCGGAACGTAACATGGGTAACAGGTTAGGGTTAGGCGATAATTTTTTTTTCAATTTTCCTTATTTTAGTCCTATTATCAGTTCGAAGACTAGCCAAGAGCCTCCCGTAGTATTTATTCCTGAAATTGCGGCCTAACCTAGTACACATATTACATTCTGATGTCCGCCATCTTGGTTCGCATACTTCGGGAGCCCCAAAAATTTAGTAATAGAACAACTTTTTCAACATTTGGTCCAATAAGTCAAACCTATAACATCCGGACGTCATTATTCCAATCTCTACAACAATCTTCTCTGACGCTCGGACCAAAAAGTTTTTCGGTCAGAACCGCAATACTATTATTCATATGTTCAATTACCTCACTAAACATGTAGATTTACTTTCATATTCTACGTGGTCAATTGTTTACGAGTTCAGATCATTTAAAATCGAACGTTTAAAAGAGTTCAACTTCTTTGATTTTTATATGACGTTTCGAGTAATTGAAAATTAATAATGGATTTGTTAAATCTATTTGCATAGATAATATTTTTTATCCGAGAGAAAAAGTCAAATAGAGTTAAAAATAAATTATCGAGCGCAGAGAAGACAACATTCACCATTAAAATTCCAACTTTTTTTCAATATATATTTCATGCCTGCAAGATCTCTTTTTGTATATATAATTGTAGAAAACTCATGTTAGGTGGTTAATTTCATATATTTAAAGTATCAGAAGGTAGAAAAACGTGTAACTAATTCCTTATGTGACTTTGTAATCTGGATGCACAGACGAATATTTATTGCCAAAGAGTTTTAAATATATTGTTACATCTCTATACTAGAACGAGATAAATATTAAGTGAAAAAGAACAGATAAAAGAAAATGGGAATTTCAGTCCAAAGGTAAGTGCGAGTACTTGTTTATGATAATTCGGCAGCAAATGCTGACAGAGTCCGTTCACTGTCGAAATATATAAGGTAAGCGGGAAATAAATATTTTGCTGGGGACATTTTTCTGCATTCCAACTTCCCGTGGGGAATTTTCAAAGAAAAATGTAGTAGTCAAATATAATTCAAATGTGTTTCGGTTCATATTGTAAATTCCTAATTTAGAACCATTTTAAGAACTGTTATGACATTCGGAAATTAACAAGTATGAAGATTTATGTATAAAACAGCACTGTTTTTAACGTAATTGTAAACCTAATCTATTATCAAATTCTTATTCTTAGTTTGCTTGTACTTGTATATTGTACCTATAGGTGGATCGACTTTGAATAAGGTAATTAATATTCTAAGAAAAAATATTTATTTATTTTCACAGCCTTATTTTTCAAGTATTGCTGTCCACATCATTTTTGGTCATTGTTAGTGAGTATATAATTAATTCACTGTTTTTATTTTGTCAAAATTTTCGTACAAATATTCAATTCAGAAACGTTTTACGCTATATATCGCAATAACTTCCCAACCGACAAACAATGGAATTTGATTACCGATACAACACGGGGGAAGGCAACAAACATTTTCAATTATAGGAGTGCGTTATGGGTGATTAAATTTTTCTAAAATTTCAATATGGCAATAATAATTTAAATTGTCCACGTATCGTTCATATTGTGTATTCAGTAAATCTCCGTAGTTAAGGCAAACATCTAGAACAGATAAAGATTTTTGTAATCCATTGTGATTTCTTACAAATTTTTAACCCTGGGTTGAGAGATCGAGACTTAAAACTAAACAGCCTCTTATTTAAGTGTTTTAAATATGTTTTAGTCATCAAATTTCTATAAACTAAAATATCTATTTCTGAGTTCAGAAACCATAAATTAAATAGCATAGTTTAGATAGCATTGTATCAAATGGTGTTTTAGAGTAATTTATAGTGATTTTGTTGGACGAATGTAAAATTTTAATAAATGATCTACCTCAATATAATACCTTATACTAAAAAACTAACAACTTCTGTGTGTCCAAATAATTATAGCTGTAGAGACTGTAAATTGGGCTGAAAATAATAAGCAGATTTTAAAATGCTGCAGGCGGTGAGAAAAAGCAATGTGTGGATGAGCAGGATTGGTGCCCAAGGATTGCTGAGCATTGCCAATCATTAGAGTATGCTTTAACTTTAAAGACTATGTGCTTCAAAACTTGCTGGAATTGTACAGGTGAGTAAAATGTTTAATTACCCTTTGTACACTCACTTTTTCGCATTGTCAATGTTGTCTTTATTGAACAAATAAATATATACTTGTGCATATCCCGGCCTCTTGCCATGCGTGTCCTTTAGCGATGTATTATTAACGAACATATGACCCATGTGAACCAGAAGACGATGGTTTATGAGTCTAACAACAACCATCTTTTATTATTTATACTGCTATATTGTAGGCATTCTTGTTTTCTATTCCACTCTTGTACACAAACATTCATAATATCTTCTTCATATCAACACATATTCATACTCTATATTGATATAGAGCCACACTGTGGTGTTTGCGAACAAAGCTGTACGAAGAACGAAGACAAGGGTGTTATTACTTGCACGTGTCGGGATGGTTTTCTACTTGCTTCAAACGGAAAATCATGCAATGGTGAGACTTATCGCATGGAGGGAAATTTTTTGATAAGAATTTGCCTGTTCTCTTTCATAAGAAAAGATACTAATATTTGCATTTGATGTATTCAATTTTAGACGTAAATGAATGTGTTACGTCGCCATGCAAGGCCGACAGAAAGTGCATAAATGATGTAGGTGGGTTTGTATGTTCGTCTGCAAAATACTGCTGGGATATTCCAAATTATTCCACTAAGATGTACAAGCCTGACGAATGTTGTTATTTAACGGGAGGTAAGAGTAAGAATGTATTTGCGTTTAGATATTTTTAAATTGAGAAATCTTATTGAAATCGGTAAAAAATAGAAAATACAAAAGTCATTCAAAAAATATATGTTTTAGTTATAACAAAGCTGTTTTTTGTATTCCAAGGTAAATGCGGACAAGATGGGTTGACACGATATGGTGGTTCCACGCCAAGAAGACTTATCAATAAATGGCCTTGGGTGGTAAATATTCAATATTGCTGGTAAAAGTGATAATAATATATTCTATTAAAAAGTTTAATTTTCCATGTTCTCACTTCCTATCCAGGCGTCACTTTACGTCGGGAAAAAGGTAAAATGCACAGGCATTATCATCAACGATAGATGGGTCGTCTTGCCTTCAGATTGCATTAAGTAAGTTGAAACACAAATCACCTACCTTAAATTTTGCATGTCAATTTTGAACGTAATTTAGTGAATTAGTCTAACGATATTGGCCAGATACGCCATTAATTTGAATCCAAATCATGTTGGTTTTTATAGTGAAAAAAGGTTGTGAAGATGACGTAAATTTTTCAGATCCCTAAATCGTGTTTTTAGTTTATAAATTTTGTCGAATTTTCGTATAATGTAATGAAAATGTAACTCCACTATGGCCAGTAAGATATAATGATACTCCCAACTTGATTTTTTTAAAATATAATCTCGTCGTTGTTTTGTTTCCATACATATAGCAATTGATGATTAATATAGCATATACAAGATCTTCATAGTTATAACATCAAAGGTAATATATGTCTTTAAGGTCGGTAATGAAAAAATCAAAACTCCATCAATTGCGAATTGGTGCCGGATTACACGGATCTATATCTTCACCTCAAGCTGCTCAGCGTAAAGTGACAAAAGTACGTCCAATGAGCAGTCCTGATTACGCATTTGTATTTCATTTCTTACGTACTGACCAGTATAATTCCAAGAAATTGCAAAGCCTCAATTTCCTAAACACACGATGAGCGCTTATAATGAATAAATTAGAAAAAGATGGAAGCACAGAATTTGTTTATCGTTTTTGACGTCTTCTTCAAACCGAAATGCTTGAATGTGGTAAAACAACACAAAAAAACGAGTAATTTCTTAATAAAAGTTACAGATCATTGCTACACGTGGAAACTGGGAGTCTGTTACTATAATGCAGCTTAATGAAAGTTTGTCATTTTCGCATGATTATATTCACCCAATCTGTTTGTCGAACGAAGAAACTCCGGTAATTGGGGAAACTTGTGTGGCTCTAGGATTTGTACAACGAAAGTCATTTGATGGTTCGTTCTTTCTAATTATATTCAAATGTTCAATTTTTTGATGACGGTCTTTATTCAATGTACCTTCCATATTTTTGGATTTCGAGAATATCAATATGTTCCGTCATACCGGCCATGATTACTATGTGACTATGTAGTTTGGTCGTGATTGCGGCATAAAGTGTCTTCGCAATATCAAATAATGCCTTCTGGGCATATGGACTCAAGCGATATACTCTCTGTTACTTTAAAATAGCAGAACGAAAAACACAAAACAAATTGAAAATAATTTCAAATAAAAATTACAACGTACAGTTGATCTGTGTGTAACTTTCGCTAAAAATAATTTAAATTTTTAGTATACATAATCGTATAGTTCGCAGAATCTTTCATTAGCGTTTTTGTCCCCAGCATGATAAATATGGAATAATTATTAAACTCACAAATCGTAATTTTCAGGGGTTTACTATTCTGTGTCAGAGATACCACTTAAAGTTACAAACAATTCAAACTGCTTACAACAGTCTGATTACGATGGTATTAAAGACGATAAAGCAACAATTTGCTCGACAAACCCAAATTTGGATTATAAAAGTTGCTTAGGTTTGTATGATAATTCCTACTTATAATAGTTTAAAAATTAGACAAAGAAAAAAATATTACTCTTCAGATTTTATATGTTATCATACCAGTGTCTAAATAAAACTCGTATTTTACTAATTTGTATATAAAGGAAACAGCGGAGGATTTTTGGTATGTCAGCGAAAGAACAGTTGCGATTGGTATCTGACTGGTGTAAGAATCAGAGGAAAAGGTTGTGCCGGACCCCAAGAAGGATTCACCCAATTTTTCAAAACGGGAATATTTGAGTCGGGGATTAAATCATACATGAAATTATATGGGCGATGAAGAAATCCCACTTCAATCTAGAAATGATATCGCAGCTGTCACAAATATTAAAATTGTTATGATCTTCATTTAGAATTATGATAAATTTTTAATTTATGCCAAAATATTCCAACAGATTTACTGAAACTTGATATTTAATTGAATTATTTCTGATCGCAAACGAACTATTGTTAAATATGATCACAGAAATATGTTGCAAATAAAACAATTGCTCTACTAGACTGTTTGCTTTTTACAAAATCAAAAATTTGGAATACAATCTCACTGATTTGAGGAGCATTCTAAATAAAAGCTTTCATCGCCATCAATGTCACTATCGGTATTTACAAATGTTGATGATATAATAAAAACGCATTTTGTAATCTGATAAATTGGATGAGATATTGACCATAAATCTTATGGCCGGTTAGCTCATTTTGGCTATAGACTTAGAGAGTCGTGCTAATAACGCGAATGTCGTGGGTTTGGTCCCCATTTGTTAACTCATTTGTTAACCTTTACGCCACAATATCGGCACAAAATGCTACCTCTTGTTTAAAATGTTGTGCTAATGTTCCATTATACCCTTGACATTGCCATGTCTGAATGCATCTTCATGATCTCCTTATCACCTACATCAATTACAACTACACAAATCAATAAATTAGCAAATACAATTTTCCTGAAGTCCTTCTGGAAAGTTTTCGTTTAGTATAGTTCAGTAGCTTCCCAGACCAGGATCGAAACTGGGCCGCCTCGGCGATATCCAGTAATTCTAACCCAGTTGTTCCCAACCCTTTTTATGTCGCGGCACATCATTGAGCACTTTAAATATTCGCGCCACACCTATCACAAAACATGAACATTTTCTACTCATAAAGACAATTTGCTATAAAATAATATTAAACAAAGATGATCAGATAAGGGGAATTTTATTCCTGTGAATACAACATACCCTGTATTTGGTAACAGGTATAGATTAATACTGGTGAATGTCAGTAGGACTGGTATGCCTGGTACTTCTTTAATACTGCTGCAATTTGTGGACGAATGTGAAGGAGATATACTTCCAACTCTCTGAGAAACACACACACCCAATAATTTCGTTTATATTTGAATACATGTTGTTTCCGCTTTACAAAAGAGTGCAATAGTCGAGCGCGAACAAAAGGTTAATAGTTACCGATATTATAACTGTTTTCTTACAATAATGTACACGAGAGCGCCTTCAGAGCACCTTTCATTTGTAAAGGATGCACTGCCGCGCAGGTAAGACGTGGGCTTGAAACGCATTGCCGATCACGCGCTTCAGTTTTGCTCGCTCTTCCACTCTCCACATTTCACCCTTATTAATATTACAGGTATACTCACTTTTGCACAACCTAATTCATTTTTGTTACAATTTAATATGTTCTACTATTGTCAAAATCACTCAATAGTGTTATTGTCGGAACTTGCGAGAAAAATGAAAGAGACTAACAAGCTGTATTTTATCACAACAATTAATTATATATTACACTGGCTAACAAAAAAAATTTTTTCCATGGTGCCCAAGATGTTATAAACGTTTTTAGCAAATTTGAGTGCGCTGATTCCAGAAATGCTGTTACTTTTTCTGTAATTGTATTGAACATATCCATGAAATCTCACCAAAATATTCACAATTAAAGCTGGAAGTTGTAATAAATGCTAACTAATAGATATCATCAGCTATAAATTGACGTTTTACTGATTTTCTATAAAAGGAGGTCCCGGCATCATCGCGCTTGATAGACCAACAGTTGTCTGCAAGCATGGTGGCATCATAACGACCTTGATAGCGAACTTCCATGCCGCTTATATCTTGATAAAAGGGCTTCCCTTGCCTCATCATTCACATCATCTAGAATTTCTGGAAAACGGGCAAGATGGCTGTGCAAAATATGTAACTTGATGCTTATATCTGAACCAAGTTGACGGAGACTTGTGAGTAATTTTTCAACAAGCTCTTCGTAGTTGGGCGCGTCTGGTTTTTCCCAATTTGAATCTGATTTTTAAACTGGGTTTCATCAAAAAGCCGGCAACGTTGATGCAATATAGCCTACTCTTATGTGCCGCGGCACGGTGGTTGAGAACCACTGTCTTAACCTATCGTCTGGCCATCTGCAATATCGATTGAACGGGCTGAAATAATAAATTAAAAAATAAGTTGGTTTTTCTCAACTCAGAACTATTAAACTAAATGCATGTTGGTTACCATGTCAATGTTAAAAATACTCCATGTATTTCAGAACTTTTCATACAGTTGATGTCGTTTTTTGTGTTGGGAATATCACTAAAAACTATTTAAATTGCATAACCAACGGTCAATCTCAAATGTATTATATTTTAAAAAAATATTCACAAGTCGTGTCCACCTTTGCGGCGAATCGGTTCGCGCGTTCGTCGTTTTCTATCCCAGTGAGGGTAACTGAGGAATTGAGGGTTTCGAGCCCAATTCGGCACGCTATGTCACTCCTACGCTGGTTTATACAAAATAAATTAGGTTACCATATTTTTGTGATTCCAAAGCGGGACGCCTCCAAAGACCATAGCTGTGATTTTTTTTCAACTTTAAATTTACCGATTTTACATTACGGGTCTAAATTTAAAATTACCCCGACTGTCTTTATTGACCCTATTGTCAGAGTTTGTGCACTGTCTGTCTAAATTTCGGTTTCAGTTCGGAAAATATTACGGTAAAGTTTGGCACCCTTTTGGCATACGGGGCTTAAAAGTAAAAAATTGTACAATGTTAGCGGAAAACAACGAAACAAACAAAATCACGCATTCACCTTCAGTAAGTAAAATCCCGGTAAGCTACACAGCAACAACAGTATCGAGAACATGTCAATTGGTAATGTTCTTGTATTATGCTGTCTGGCTACGCTAAACGGCAAAGCGGGATTTTTGGCTGACCGGCCGGGACGCCGGAACTAGTCCCTGCAAAGTGGGACTGTCCCGCCTAAAACAGAACGTATGGTAAGCATAAAAATGATGGATGATGACTACCCTCTCCCTGTTAGCTTAAACCAGCGGTTCTCAAAGTGGGCGAAAACGCCCCTTTGTGGGCGTTTACGATAACTTGGGTGCGCTGATGGCGATTTGGGCAATTGGGGGGCGCTTTCTGTCAGACTGGGCAATTGGGGGGCGCTGACATCAATACGGGAGCTCGCAAGAAGTGTAATAATTTATGTCATTTACTCCTATGTTTTGGTTCAAACAAGTTTTCTTGTGATTTCGGTGTTGGAAACTTCTCGCTTAAGCAGCATTTTTAACTGATTCATATTAAAACAGTATTATACAGCGTAATCCCAAAAAACGGAACCATCAATTTCTTGATTACTTCTACAAATGGAGTGAATTATTTCATTTTGTCTACACTTGAACTTCTGTGTGCGTATGTTTGTACCCAAAAGTGTCGAAGAATCTAGGACGTTTTGCACAAAAATTATGTTGATGTTCCAAATGCTCTCTCGACATTAAAAAAATTGCATTCTTCTTGGAACATTGTCAATCACTCTTCTTTGGGTTTTTCTCTATTTTATTTCTGCAATTGCAGCCTTGAGTTTACCAATCGTTTAAGGATTGTCCTTCGAACATCTTACATATCAGAATCTGAGACGTTCCATTCCGATAATTAAGGTGCCCACGGGATGCGATTGCTGACTAATCAAGCGTCTGATTTGATGTATGAGGGTCATGCTGGAACTACTGCTGGTCATCTCTATCAATCCCTCAAATCATGTCCAGATTTTTCTTGGCACAACCACGTAATTTTCTGTATTCACCAATTGAATTCTTTAATTTTCATGTCCCAATAGCAGAAGGTGCGCTTCGGCTGAAAACTAAGTGAGTGGTTTAAAATTTTGCAAAACTTCCAAGTATAATCATACGCAAACAGAAGTTTATGGGTTTATACTGGATTTATACTTTCAAACCCATGTTCAAGTCTTTCAGTGTTTCTTTTTATTCAACAGAATCAAATTGAAATATCCCCACGTGTGAGACCCGTCAAAAGTTTTTTAATTGCTCTTGCCAGCTCATTCATGGTAGAGCGTGTAGTTAGTGCAGTGACCGCACTTTTACATGTCAAGAGAGATTCCCTTGACAGTGTCAGACGAGACTCAAGACTGTTTTTAACTGAAATGAAGCCAGATAATATCAAGTTGGTGGTATTTCACCAGGCTCAACTTTCACAATATACTAATGATAAATGGAGAATAAAGTTGCTTCGACTTTTTTGTCAGGGGGGCGTTTGCTACTTAAAAAGTCGTCTAAGGGGGCGCTGTCAGAAAAAAGTTTGGGAAACACTGGCTTAGACTGAATCCACCTCACTATAGGAAGTAATGAATTAATTTATTTTAGCACAAGGAACTTATATCCATGTAGTTTTCATCGTCGGTATTTAAAATAAGTGATGTGCTTCTGCCTTCTATATACAGCTGGCGTCTTTATTTTGTGTGGAAATAACACTGAAAAACTGTGGTAATTTCAATACCTAACATTTCGAAACAAACATTGACTAATTTTTTCTGGGTAAAAAACTCCCAGACTGGAAATCGAATCCGGATGGCATGGCAAGAAATCCTAGCCACTAGACCTAGAACTATTTCTAAATTTTATTTTACTGGCTAAAATAATATTTAGAAATAAAAGAACAGAATCTCATTAGCACCTACCGCAATTACAAAAGTAAAAAACATTGGTAATAAAACTCTACTAATGACTTTTCTGAAAAGTTTCTGTTTAGCTGCAATTTTCTTTAGTCGCTTTAGAAATATGGCTTATCTCCTATAGGATAAAGATTTCACGAGTCTCTTTTTGGCGTTCCAAAAAGAAAACTGACTTATCTTGCTGGATAAAAAGTTTTTTCAGACAGGAAATCGAAACTGTGCCGCCTCGACGAAAGCTAATAATCCTAACCCCTGGTCCATCTGAGAATTCCATTCTACAGGCTGTAATATTACTTTAAAAAATAAAAATTAAACGATGTTTATTTAATTTAGCCCCCTGAAAACTAATAGGAATATTATATTTTTATTGTTGGTCAGTCGTTGGTCGTTTAGTGTTTGTTGTTTGCAATTATGCAAAATGTAAAGCTCTATACAGCTCTGGTATGCCAATGATAATATCGATGAAACCTGATTATACGGTTAACTCCATTTGCAAGATTTTATTATAGGCATATATAAACAAAATAAATAAATTGAACATCTAATAAATTATATAAAAATGAAATGATGCGGCATATCTAACCGGGCCAGTGGACTAAATAATAAAATATATGGTCAATTAACTATTAAATTATGCTATTTATTCCTTATTCTTTATTTCATATTAAGAGAGAAATGGATTTAAGAGAATACAAAGACTGACTGTGTGGCCGGGCAAAAGTTATTTTCGGGACTGAAACCACGAAGTCAATTTGCTGATTCTTTCTGAATGTGATGTAGATAATGTGACTTTCATAAATTTTAAATTATCTATAGCCAAAGCCCTATGGTAATATTATACTTTTTTGGGGTTTTATCATTTTTTTCATTTTGGAGAACAATAAATTTGCTAGACCAATTGTTGCCGTCAATCAATTTTTGCTTTTAAGTCACTATAATCGAAGGTCTCCTTGGAATTAATTCAGAATATTTAAATATCCAACAAGAACTCAGTTCAATTATTCAAAGGGTTTTTACACGAATGTGATTACGAAGACTATATGCAAATGTTAGACCAACCAACTGACCTAGCTGCACTTAAGTCGGCACATGTTTCACGAAAAACCAAAAAGGTCTTCAAAAAAACAAGTAACAATTCGAAGTACAGCCTTGCGGGCATTTTGCAGTTTCATTAATGAAGTTCATCATCAGCATCGCCAAATATTGTATAATTTCAAAATACCTCGCGGCTATCAACAAGCGAATGATTGATTTGCCGATAAATATATCCAACTTTACAAAAACACATTTTTCGTAGACCAAGGATAAATTTATGATTTTTATGAAAAGGAATTTAGTAATAAAACAATTTTCTCAACATTTATGATATCCGGACGTCATTATTCTAATCTCTACAACAATCTTCTCTACTAATCGGACTGAAACTTTTTTCGGTAAAAACCGCAATACTATTATTCATATGTTCAATTATCTCACTAAACATGCAGATTTACTTTCATATTCCACGTGGTCAATTGTTTATGACTTCAGATCCTTTTGGTCTTGAATGAAACGTTTTAAAGATTACAGCTTTTTTCGTTTCCATATGACATTTTGAGTAATTGACCACATGAGACTTAATAATGGATTTGTTAAAATCTATTTGAATAGATAATACTTTTTGTTCGAGAGGAAAAGTCAAATAGAGTTAAAAAGATTATTGGACGCAGAGATGACAATAGTCACAAGTTCAAATTTTTTAATTATTTATTACATACCTGCACGATTTGTTTGATGTATATATACTTGTAGAAGATCCATTTGATGTTGATAATTTTATATAGATATCAGTGGGTAGAAGTATCAGATGGTAGAAAAACGTGTAAATAATTCACATGCGACATTGTATTCTGGTTTCAGAGACGAATATTTATTGCCAAGAAGTTTTAAATGTGTTGTTCCATCTCTATACTCTAACGTGGTACAGTCATATACTGAATATACTAAGAATTAATTTAATTTAAATAAATATATCGTAAAAAAGAACGGCTGTAAAAATTGAGGGTTTCAGTACAAAGGTAAGAATGACAAGTTGTTTTTGCTTATTCTGCTGCGAGTGCTGAGAAAATCTTTCAATGGCTTAAATATATAGTGTTAGGCGGAGAACATATATATCTAGCTGAGAATATCTTATATAACTTTCTGTATTTCGACTACCCGCGGGGAATTTTCAAAGAAAATATATAGTTGAATATGATCCAAATGTGCTTCATTTCATATTGTAAGTTCTTATTAGTTTAGAACAAATTTGGAACTGTTATGACATTCGGAGATTAACAATTTAAATATGTATGTTTGTACTTATATATTGTACTTATACATGGATCGGCTTTGACTAATATTTTAGGAAAAAATATTTATTTATTTTTCAGCCTTATTCTCCAAGGATTGCTGTCGGCTTCATTTTTGGTTATTGTTAGTAAGTATAAAATATATGGTGCTCCCGAAGTATGCGAACCAAGATGGCGGACATCGGAACGTAACATGCGTAACAGGTTAGGGTTAGGCGATAATTTTTTTCCAATTTTCCGTTTTTTAGTCCTATTATCAGTTCTAATTCTAGCCAAGAGCCTCCCGTAGTATTCATACCTAAAATTATGGCCTAACCCTAACCTAGTACACATGTTACATTCCGATGTCCGCCATCTTGGTTCGCATACTTCGGGAGTCCCAAATATATTCACTTTATTTTACCAAAATTTTGGGATCAACATTTAATTCAAGACACATTTTTACGCTATATATTGCAATAGCTTCCCAATCGAAAAGCACTTTGTCAACAATGAAATTTAATTACAGATACAACACGAGGAAAGTTGCAACAATCGTTTTAATTGTTGAAATGCTTAATGGGCGATTGAGTTCTTCTAATATTTCAATCTGGCAATAATAATTTAAATTGTTCACGTATTGTGCGGAGTGTTATCTATTGTATAATCAGAATATTTTCGTAGTTTGGGCAAATCATCTATAACAGATAGAGATTTCAGTGATCCATTGTGGTTTCTTGTAAGTTTTGAATTTCGGTTGAAAGATCGAGACATAATTTTGAACAGCTTTTTTGAAAATCTTTTCTAATTATCAAATTTCTTCAAACTGAAATATCTATTACTGCGGCTTATAAGCAAACTTTGAATTCAGAAATCATGAGATCCATTTTTGTCTACCAAGTTTGATCTGAGTAACATAGGGTTTAGTAAATTAGATAACATTGCATCAAATAAGGTTTTTGAGTAATTTATAGTGGTTTTGTTTGATGCTCATAATAACAGATCTACCTCAAAATAATATCTTATACTAAAAAAACTAAAAACGTTTTCATGTACAAATAAATATAGCTAGAGACAGTAAATTGAACTGAAAATGATAAACGTATTCAAAATTTCCACAGGCTGTGTGAAAAAAAAATGTGTGGACGAGCGAGCTTGGTGCCCGAGCATTGCTAAGCATTGTCAATCATTAAAGTCTGCTTTACATTTTAAAACTAAGTGCTTCAAAACATGCTGGAATTGTACAGGTGAGTAAAATGTTCCATTACTCTTCGTACGTTAACTTTATATACTATTTCTACATCCTCTTCGCATTGTCAATGTGGTCTCTATCGTAAAGATAGATACTCGAGGAGAGCCCGACCTCTCGCCATGTCAGTTTGTTAATGATGTATTAACGAGCACAAATTAAGTACACCTCACACACTTCAAAAACAGACAAAGGTAGTTGATTATGTCCATGGCATGTCCATGAGCGAAAATGTTGCTCGAGTTATTGCATTTACATGAAAGGAAACATACTATTGAAACTATAATTTATTGGACACGAAATATACATATGAATCGCTCTCTTCAGAAACCCTGGAACCATACACCAGTTGTCAGTTGGACACCTGAGACCGTACCCGTGCGTGCTGTTGTCCTACATTCGTATTTATATATTTGAGTATTACTGTCTCGTTTTTTTAAGAACCACTGTGACCCACAAGTCGTTTGTTCAACAGTAACCCTATTTTATTATTTATACTGCTATACCGTGGTCATTCTTGTTTTCTATTCCATTTTTGTACCCAAACATCCATAATAGTTGTCTAATATCAACCAATATACCTACTCTTTATGGATATAGAACCACACTGTGGAGTTTGCGAACAAGGATGTACGAAGAACGAAAGCACGGGTGTTGTTACTTGCTCGTGTCGGGATGGATTTCTACTTGCTCCAAATGGAAAATCCTGCAATGGTGAGATTGTTTTGCGTATATATATATATATTTATATTGTTCATTCTTGAATGAAATTTGCTTGTTTTCAGTCATAAGAAGAGACACATATATTTGTATTTAACATATCCAATTTCAGACGTAAATGAGTGTATTACGTCCCCATGCAAAGTCGGCAAAAAGTGCAGAAATACTGTAGGTGGGTTTGAATGTTCAACTGCAAAGTCCTGCCAGGATATCCCAAATCATTCCGCTAATATGTACAAGCTTGATGAATGCTGTGAAGTAACGGGAGGTAAGACTGAGAATATATTTGCGTTAAGTTATTTCTAAATTGAGCATTTTTTATTAAAATCGGGAAAAAATAGAAAATGCAAAAGTCATTCTAAAAATAGGCTACGTATTTTAGTTATGACAAATCTGTTTGTTTGTATTCAAAGACAAATGCGGAAAAGACGGTTGGACACGATACAATGGTTCCATGCCAAGAAGACTTATTAATAAATGGCCATGGATTGTAAGTATTCCACACTGCTAGTAAAGGGAATATTAATATATACTAATACAAATTTAAGTTTCCCCGTTCTCACTTTATTTATACAGGCGTCACTTCACGTCGGGAAAAAGCTAAAATGTACAGGCGTTATCATCAATGATAGATGGGTCGCTATTCCTTCAGGTTGCACATCGTAAGTTCTACAAACACAAATTACAAACCTCAAATTCTGTATGTCATTGATATGATGAGAGCGCGTAATTTAGCAAATAAGTACAACGATGTATGGCCAGATAAGTGATTTAGTTGAAACCTATTTCATGTTGATTTATATAGTGAGTGATAAAAAGTTGTAGAGATGAGGTAAATTCTTCAAATCCCTAAATCGTACTTCTTGTTTACAAATTTTATACTATGATAAAAATCCAACGCAACTATGGGCAGTTAGATATAGTGATACTCATCATAGCCATATTATCAGAAGCATTATCTTTCTCTAAGGTCAGTAATGTATAAGGAAAAACCAAAACTAGATCAATTGCGAATTGGTGCTGGATTACTCGGATCTATTTCTACACCGCAATATGCTGAGCGAAAAGTGACAAAAGTACGTTCAATATGCAGCTTCGATTACGCGTTTGCATTTTATTTCCACCATACCGGTCAGTATAATTCTTAGGAGTTCCCAAAGACAATTACTTATGCACACGAGGAGCACTTTAAAAATATTAGAATAAAAGGAAGCACAGAAGGGATTTGTGTATTAGTGCCCTGTGGGGGTTATTGGAATATCACATGTTTTTCGTGTAAAACTGCATACATGTACAAGCGTACAATATTTGTACATTATTGCAGTTATTGCGTGTACCGTACTTTGGAAGCTTCTTACCGTTTTGGCACCCGCTGACACTTACAGCAGATAAAATTGAACATATTGCCCGGATACGCCAACCTGGAAGATGGTCGGGTGATACATCGTCAGCTTTTATCAATTACTTTAATAATTGTAATAGTTTCTTATCCTGACAAAAAATTTTGTATGATAAAACAACACAGAGAGGATAAAATGAATTTCCCAATCTCTCAATAAAAGATACAGATCATTGCTACACGTCAATACTGGGAGTCTGTTGATATAATGCAGCTTAATGAAAGTTTGCCATTCTCGCGCGATTTCATTCACCCAATCTGTTTGTCCAACGAAGAAACACCGGTAATTGGAGAAACTTGTGTGGCTCTAGGATTTGTACAACAAAAGTCATTTGATGGTTCGTTCTTTCCTTATATATTCAAATGTTGAAACTATTTTTAAATTTTAATAATGGTCAATATTCAATATACCGCCTATCTTTTGGGTTGGTTGCATGAGTATCAATATGTCAATATCTTTCATAGTTAGATTAGTTAAAACTAATGAGCAAGAATAGGAGAAAATATATTGTAAAAACTACATACTCAGAATGTAGAGTTGATCCGCGTTTATAACTTTAGTTAGAAATAATTCAAATCTTTAGTGTACACTGTATACATGACCATATAGTTAGCTGGATCTGTCATGAGCATTTTTGCCTCCGGCTTTGTAAAAATGGAATATCAAACTTGCAAACTGTTAAATTTAGGAGTTTACGATTCGTTGGCAGAGTTACCACTGAAAATTACAAACAATTCAAACTGCTTACATCACGTCGGGATTAACGACGATAAAGGCACAATTTGCGCGGGGAATCCAAATATGGATTATAAAAGTTGCTTAGGTTTGTATGACAATTTTTACTACAACTAGACTAAAATCAGATCCTTTAATTGTCAGAGTTTAAAAATCAGAAAAAGAAGAAGAATTTTCTTTACCAGATGCTATATCGCATTCTACCAGTGTGTCTATAAAACTTGTATTTTACTATGTTTGATATAAAGGAAACAGCGGAGGATTTTTGGTATGTCAGCGGAAGAACAGTTGCAATTGGTATCTGGCTGGTGTCAAAATTAAAGGAAAAGCTTGTGCTGGCCCACGAGAAGATTTTACCAAATTTTTCAAAATGGGAATATTCGAGTCGGGGATTGGATTTTACATGAAATTATATGAGGAATAAAGAAATCCCACCCCAATCTAGTAATAATATATAGCAGCCGTCAAAAATATTAAAATAGGGATTTTTAATATTTGGCCAGTAACTAATTATTTGTTTGGTATAACAAAGATTTCGACAGATTAACTAAAACTTTCATTGAACTATTTTTAATTACAAGCCAATTATATATTGAATATGAACGCAGAAATATGTTGCAAATAAAACAACTGCTTTAGTAAACTGTTTGCTTTTTACAAATTGGGGAATGCAATTTCACTAATTTGGCGCGATTTACAAAGAATACATTCGTCGCCATCAATCTCACTATGCCACGCTATTTGTTTCAAGTTATAATTATTGGGAAGTTAAATCAAGGTTATCCCATGAACCCATTCAACATGATAATTTGAATTGTGTGGTCGTGTTCACAACTCTTTTGGTAAACTTTACGCTACAATATCGGCAATGCTACCTCAAGTTGATATTTTGAAGCTGATATTTTATTATACTTCTGACATTGTCATGGCTAAAAGCATATTCATAAACAACATCCTCAGCATCTGCCGCAATTACAACTATAAACGTCGATAAATTAGCAGATGAAACCTTGCTATTGTCCTTTCTGGGAAGTTTTTGTTTAGATTCCATATTCTTTAGGCGCTCGAAAAATATAAATAAAATATAGCCATCCCGTAGTGTAAATATTTCACCGCTCGTTTTCTAACGCTTCAAAACAAAAACGGACAGAACTTTGCTGAATGAAAGCTTTCCCATACCGGGTATCGAACCCAGGCCGCATGGGTGAAAGCAGGAAATCCTATTTTTATTGATTCATAATACAATTAAATGAGTATTGACATTGAAGCAGCTGTTAAAGTGTTTTGCTAATACTATTATACTGCTGGCGGTATCATGACTAAATGCATATTCATGAACAACCTCTCTAGCACCTGCCGCAATTGTAACTATAAATTTTTTATAAATTATTAACAGATAAAACTTCACTAATGATTTTTTGCGTTTTTGTTTAGCTCCCATATTCTTCAGTAGGCCGGAAAATAAAGCCAGCTCGTGGCGTAGAGTTAGTTTCTTTTTAACGCTTCAAAACAAAAACTGACCGAAATTAGTTGGGTGAAAATTTTCTTCAGTCGCTTCAGAAATATGGCCTGTATTAGTAGCTTCTACCAGCCATTTTCTGGTGTTTCGAAGCAAAGACTGACTGATCTTTTCTGGATTGAAGGCCGAAATAATATTTCGAAAATGAATTGGTGGTTAAAACTACTGAAGTAATTAATATATATTTACATGTATTTTTCATATCCAGTATTTGAAATACTTTTTTGCCGGTCTGTATACGGCTGATGTATATTTAGTGTTGGAAATATCATTGAAAACCGTGATAATTCAAATTGAGGTAAAGGATAAAAAAGTCAACTCAAATATATTCTATTTCAACGTAAGTAATCATAAGCTATTTTTCTGTTGCCAAATCGGTCAACGCATTGAGTGGAGTTGGTAACATGAGATACATATACAACCCGAAATATACATTTTGCGCCAACTAAATATACATATAGCCCCAACTAAATATGCATATACAGCCAGTGTCATATGCATATATCGCCAATTAATATACAAATGCAGTCATTTTGATGATGCACATACACAGCCAATGTCATATGTATATATACACCCAATCAGATATTATATACAGCCATTCAAGTAATATACACATACTGCCAATCGAATAATGTACATGCACTGCCAATGCAATATGCTCATATAGTCATACGCAATATACGTCAATGTCATATGTATATATAGTAAGTCAACTCTGTGTGCTTATGAATGCAATAAAGCGATGACATACAATGTCATATGTATATACTACAAATTTATGTACAGTACATATAAAACCCTTCATGTGATGTAAATATACAACCAATGTCATATGTAGGCTACTCATGATAAACTAAATATATGTATGCAGCCATTTTAGTGATGTACAAACACCGTCCATCCATTTCATATAATATCCTACTTATGTGTTGCATATACAAATCACAAGCTTTGAAGTCATGTTAATATAATGAGTGCGTTAAAATGCGTTACAATAAGTGTAAAGTATATGTACATCAGCATCAATTGGTGACAAGTCTTTACATATTATTTGTGCATAACAATGCGTACAATATCAGCCGCTCGTGGTGCACGAATACAGACATTAGGTTGCAATATGTGATGCCCTAAGATAAAGCCCCACAACATCTGATTGTGATAACATGAACAATGCGTTGCTGACAACGACAAAGTATAAAACTATTTTTTGGCCAAACTAACCAGATTAAAAATTGTTATCATTACTCACGCTACATATTGATTAATCAAGAAAGCATCGCCAAATTACTTTTATGGAATTAGGCCATGCTTGTTGACGAATTGTGGTAGTGTGCTTACGCTTACAGAAACTAAATTAATGTTAAGCTATTAGTTTGTTATATGAATAAACAATTCAAAATGCCAATCATCATGTGAAGACCATTGTAACAGGAAAATTTGGAAATACGAATAACATGAGATTAACACGGTGTTGATGCTGAAATAGGATTTATATACAACAATCCTGGCAAATACAAAAATACAAATCATAGAAGTTCAGATGTCGTGAAGCAGTGGTGCTCAAGTTTTGTGCTAAGACGCCTTTGCATAAGCTCTTTGGACATGCAACACACCGGTGAAGAAATATTTGAAAAAATAATGATAGAGACCCTGAAAATCATGTTAGTTATATGGGACGTGAGGACGTAGCAAGGTTATGATTTTATATAATGCAAAATTAAAATCATTCTACCACGCTTGTCCGTCGGTCTTTTATTAGCAAACATATTGGCCATCTTGATATATATATATATTTTAGCATTGCCTATCCATATTTATGATCAGACCGGGCCAACTTGGGTTATTGCTCTTAATTAATTTAGATTATTTTTCATCCAATATCAAATTAGTATTTGGTTTGCCCTCACTCAAACCATTGCCTAAAATAAGGCAGTCTCTAAATATAATACTAACTGTTCACTCTCAATCATAGATTCTTCGTTTCCAAACTTGGTATCAAAATGTGTGAAATTGGTTAAATTTAACAAACTTTAATTTGATGCGTTTGGGGGAAGTTATTTTTAATAGACAAAGAGGAAGGTGAGCCACAGTGGGGAATGGTGGAAAATCAGCACTTGCACTTATACTATATCCATAATCAGTCATTCGTTTTGAAGTTTGACTCCGCCTTTAGGAGTTATGACGTCCCTGCAAACGGACAGCGGCCGTTTGGAGTAGTGACTTAGGATATGAGATGAAATTGGGGGGTTTTAGGGGGCTGGAAATAAGATTTCGCCATTTCCGTTTTTTCTTTTTTTCCAATTTACTTTTTCCGACAGGACAAACGACTGTATGGCATATGTTAGCTTTATCTCACTGTATAATAAATATAACGTTTGGCAAGTGGATATACTCTACTAAGCTTGGCATGGAGCAGTCTAAAAATGTTTGGCGCTTATGCGGAACAATATACCGGGGTTCAATGGGTTATGTTTTGTGTCATATTAGGTTTTCATTTGCCCTATGGCCCAATTCAAAATATATTCTAGAATTAAAAAAAAATTCACATGGTATTCAAAACAGTAAATTATTTCCTTTTGGACAAAATTGGACATTGTTCTTCTTGATATATGAATGTGGATTTTTCGTTTTATTTAACACAGTGAACACTTCTGTAATTAAAAAAAATACACTTTTGTATTAGTATTACACTTGTTTTTTGATCACTAAACTCGTATTTGATGTTTATGGCCTATTCAACAAAGAATTGTCATTGTCGAGAATGGAAGTTACAGAACTCATTTTCAATTGAAGTTAGGCATAATCCAAAAGGAAAGCAATAAATTTATTTCAGCTTCAATCATGTGAATCTTAAATATTTATCTAGTAATTCTACAATCTCCTTCAAACGAGCATGTCTCCAGAGCGGTTTTATGTTGCCAATGTGGAAAATTAGTTTAGAGGTATGGATATACCTGTCGCATTGTCTTTTACAACCAGCCTAAACAGTAACACGAAAAATGCCGCCTGAATGTGAGAAAACTTACTAATTACCATCCTGTACCTCACGTTTGACGAAATTTAGTAATCAATAAATCTGCAGTGATTTGTAATTTACTTTTTAAACACGAGTTTGAAAAGAAAGCTGACCAGTTCGAACAAACATTTATAATGATCAAATGTGTTTGTACACTAAAAGTTTCAATGTTTTTTATTAAGCTGTTTACTTATTCAAAAAAAACCTTTTTGACAACCTCGGACCAACCTGCTATAGATAATGAAGCAATATAGTAACTTACCAAAGTTATGTTTCTTTTGCCCCAAGGAACGTTTAACGCCACTCATGTACTGCACCTAAGTGTGCGAACTTGTGTGACATAACACACTTTTATCAGATACCAAAGCCTGTAAATATCCTTTTAAACATTTCAGCTTACTGTAAAAATTTAAAATTTTCTTAGAGTTATATATATAGTTATCTTTAACTCGGTTTCAACTCAAGTTATCATGTTGAATATGTTTTGGGGTTAAAGTTGATATGGTGACGGAAGGGTTTTTATAAATCCCACCAAACCAGTAAGATTTCATTCTTGAATTTTCGAATTTGTTCAAAAAAACACATTCTACTAAATCAATTGTTTTCTTTGCAACGTATTTATGTTTTTTTTATTTCTTTTGTCACTCTTTGAAACTATACTTACAGCTATACAACCTATGTAGGCTATTACAGCATAATTTTGTAATGATTCCGTAAATTAGTGTGATGAAAGAATTTAGTGAGTTATGGCAACGGTTTAGCAGATGACTCAGTATCGCAGTACTTTGGAGATAATTGTCATCGCTCGTTCACTACGGCTTGTTGTATTGAGTTTATATAATATTGGGTGACATTGATCCTATACAAAACGCTTAAATATTCGTAACGTGGATGTTACAACGTTATAAATATGAATTTTCATGAATGGTTAAATTAAGTTGAGAATATTACAATAAAATACGCTTCGGTGTTAAGTTATTTTATTAAATAGTGCAAAATAAATTTGATTTATATATATAGGCATAAATGTACTTCGGAGAACTTTTTCGCTT